GATTGTTCTATGTAATCTTCTCTCATTTGGTATCACTTAGAATCATATCACATATAATGTGTGCGTGTGAAGGCAGAAGTGTTGCAAGTGCATAGGTTACTAGGCATACCAAAAGCTCCTAGGTCAGCATGAGTGCTACAAATATTCATACAAGTATAATGTGCACGGCAATGGAAGCTAGTGCACAATGACAACTCTTGTTGGGAGTTATTCAACTTATAGAAGAGTTCAAAGATGTATTGTTAGGTGTAGTGCTAAGTCAATTGTCATCTCAACTTGAGGTAGACCACACAATCATGCTCATGCTTGACCTTGAAAAAAGTCACGGTGAAAAATAATTTTCTAATGCTTGAAGTAAAAGAATTATTCAATTGGTTTAACAATACTATGTAGTTTTCTTGCAAGAACTTGAAGATCAATTATCGTTAGGCTCAAATCAAGACAAGATATGACAATTTAACCTCACCAATGTTCTAGTCACTTTTTAGAGAGAACATTGATAAGTTAGTAGTTGTTTACAAGAATATGACAACATTCCTTTGAAAAGTACTATTAAAGATAGGGATGGTAAATTGTACCTCACAAAGTACAAAGTCACACTAAAAGCTATCACATTTCTAGGTCACTCATGAGACATGATGGAATGAAGATAGATCAAACCAAGGTTCACACCATCAAAGGGTGGTCGATGTTGAATCACACATAACAAAATGAAGTTACAATATTTTCTAAGGTTGACAAACTACTATCAAAAGTTCATACAAAACTTGTATGGATAAGAGCTCTACTTACAGATCTTTTAAAGAAAAGTGTGCAACTTAAAAGTATCAAAACACTTTCAAAGCACTCAAGTAGACAATCATGAGTAAGCCAATCTTGTGGCTTCCTAACTTGAGTTGTTTGTTTGAAGTGCATACTAATACTTCAAATGGCCATTGGCATGTGAAAAACAAAAAAATTATATGGTGACATTTGAAATCTGAAAGCTGAGTGACATAAAGAATATCCTACTATGTACACAAAAAAATAAATGACAACGATTGCATATTGACTTCAAACTGAAGACGTTAATTTTTCAACAATCATTTTACTATCTACATAGACAATGTGATGATAGATTGCTTCATGTGACACAACCTCATGTAAGAACAAACTTGATAGTAGAGCTTTATGAAGATATATGATATTGGCCCCAAGGACAAGTTAGGGTGTGCCAATACCGTGCTATACACCCTCATTGGTAAGGAACACCAAACAAGTCTTGTGGTGATTTTAATGACCAATGGCACTATGCTGTAGAAATCCAAAGTGCACTAATGAAGAATGCAAAAGCAACATCCTTGTTGTTGCACACAATTAAGGGTGTGACCAACCACTTATGAGTAGGGGATGAGGTCCTCTTATGGACATGTATGTATGTCAATGCCTATGATGAGAGGCACACAATGCATTATATACACCTCAAATAACAATCCACATTCACACTATTGTCCAACAATTAAGCAAGTTTAGAAAAGACTAATGGAAGTATTTCTGAAATGATTAAATTCAAACATTTATAATTAATATTTTTTAACATTATTATCATGAACATTTATAGAATAGTCTCAAGTATACATTTTCTTTTCATTGAATAATATTATCATAAATTGTTTTAACTTAATTTGAAAAATAGTGCTATTAATAAGGGAGCTGGTACTCCTACTTGGATTGATTGCAAAATCAATAATATTTTATCTAGATTGGTGATATAGATTCACTGAGCATGGGCATTCTGTAGATGAGGAGTTTGGCCTAATTAGAAACAAATTATTGTATGACTTTGGTTAAAATTATCAATAGAGGAACATGGAAGCTCTTCGAGCATACGTAGATCAATCACTGAATTGGTAATCTCTAATACGAATTGACCAATTTAGATGAATATCCAGCAAGTTATTATTAACTAAGAAGATTGGAACGTGACTTGCTTGGTTATAATCACTGAAAGAAAAGTAAAATCAGTCAATATGGGAATCAAAAAAATAGCGAGACATTAAAGTGGATATATTTCCATAGGAGAAGAGTAGAAAATAATTGCTTCTGAGATCAAAAAATCATGGTTCTCCATTCTAGAATGTGGGTGATTAAAAAATTAAAAATCAATGGAACTAAGATAGCAAACAAGTGTAGTTTGGCAACAACAGATCTCTGTGTGATTTTCAGATGATGAGCGAGGATGATACATAGATCAAACTGTATTTAAGTTTCTTCACCCATGGTTCAGATTGACAATTGGGCACCAAGAATTTACCTGAAAAAGAACGCCCTTGCTCAAAACCCAACAACAATGTGGCTTTTTGGGAGACTCTGTGATCAATCCATGCTTGTTCAACCTCACTCTTTAGTCTTTTAACCATGTTTAAGCACAATGGAGTAATCTAGCTTGTTCTCCAGTCCCATCGTCTGATTCTTCCACTTTACCCCTCCATGCTCTTCCCTTCTCCTCCTTTCACCCTTCCAACTTGATCGTCTGATCCATGTTTAAGCACAATGGGAACGATCATGGCATGCCCCATACATATAAACATGTTTATCTGCTGGTCATTATTTCCCCTTGTCATGATGGCATTGGCAGGGTGATGGGTCTTCAAAAATTTACCTGGGTCTTGTGATTGCCATGGAGTTTGATCATTTTTTCGCCAAGTCGTCAGCCCATTTAACAGATTCTCAGTATTGGAAGAGGCTTCTAATGATGCACTAGACATCTTTCTTCCCCGTTCTGCTTCTCATCCCGCCATCATAACAATGTTCAGAGACAATACTAAGGTAGAATGGAACAGGATTCCTGCACTGCTAACAGGAACTCCATCCTTATATAAGCTTTAATGAATCTCTCCAGGAGTAGGTGAGGTGATGACATGACGTGCAAAACATAAAATAGTAATCAACAAATGTCTATACCCAAATGGGAAAACTCTGATTTATTAGAAAAACATATGCCAAATGCAGCCCAAGATAGCCACCTCTCTCACAGTATTTTCCACCCTCTGAAATTGTTTATCGTATTTCCCTTGATTTCTTCATCAATGCTGATCACACTCTGACCAGAATGAAGGGATACATGACGGGCCAGTATCACTGTTGTCTGGTACATTCACGGATAGGACACATCTGAGTTTACTGCACTTTGTTTCATGGTGGATTCCCCACGCTCAAAAACTGAGGATCATAAACTTCTATTAATTGATGATATTAAACAGAATTATTTTTAAATTTCTTGACCATTGACATGTTGATAACCTGGAAGCATTTGGATAGTTTTGAAATTATGCTGCTTTTCTTAAGCAATTCCTCGTCGAATAACTCACTCATTTCAAGCAAGTTATAGTATAAGAACTGATGAATCTGACTGAGATATTATACACAAGGTGATGAAACTTAAAAAGGAATCTAGGCTGTATTACACAGTCGAAGCTCTGCAATATAGATTAGCATGCTTATGAACACGACTTTGAGTTACATGTAAAAATAATCCAACCAATCTGCAATCTGGTATAATCTATTGAAACCCACATTATGGAATGGGAGAAAAACTGTTCAGGCGTTAAGGGAAATGTTCCTGAATTGAGAATAAAGGCAACAGATAAAAAATTCTTCATGCAGAAAACCATCAGAAATAGACAGCATAGAAGATGCTGCTTTATCCTTCACGAAGAATGTTGGTAAACCTAAATTAAGAGCAGCCGAGGAAGAAAAACTTCTCCTTATGCTCTGAATACATTCACATTTCACTTCACCACAAGACGGGGAACAACATGCTTGATGATAGCCATGCGATCATAAAAGAATGAAACTGGACCCACATTTACAAGTAACCTATGGATGAAGGCTGGTTGTACTTGGCAAGCCAGTAAATATGGCTATGGGATTTGACTTGATGACAGGTGTAGCTGTGAAATACAACACAAAATAAGGGCACATTGAAATTTTTGCTAAAAGTTAGCCAATATATTAAACAATTCTTTCCTCAAAGGCAATATGAGGAAGGTGATGATGAAAGAAAAATCGACTTAAATTTCTAGCACGAACTCAAAAAACAAATCCAACTGGTCAACTGATAACATTACAGAATCCAAATGGTAAGGAAATCTTCATGTGATCAGAGTTTTACAAGTATATAAGGGTTCATCAAAAAAAAAAAAAGATCATAGGCTGTAAAAAACTATTACCAATTTAACTGCCACCAAAGAACTTCGCCACGTTTTCCATTGCGATTACTTACACTCCTTTTTGATAAAAAAAAACCTTCTTTGACACGACTGCATGTTTGAAATATTCACATCTCTTGCTTTCAAAACGTCAACGTTCTGCATAAATTCATTAAATAACATTGATAATATAATGCCTTTTAAAAGTTATGGTTAGGCAAGTACTTAATATTGGAAAAAACGTTATCATCAAATACGCTGATCATATCCACAAAGAAACTGTCAATTTTAACATCTTAAGCCTCAATACAAGTCATCTTGGACCTATGTCTCAGGAGAAACTAATGGGTAAATTAAAAAAAAATCCTCCTCATAAAAATGCATTTAATAATTTTACATGCTTACATAACAGCGAAAATGGGAACAGTGTTAACCTTCCTTTGGCTGAGGCACGTGAGCAGCATCCCCAGGTTCCACTGGGAATCTTTTGGCGCCTCCATCTTTATCAGCCATTAAACTATGAGTATCTATAATAGTACGATCTCTTTCTGTCTCCTCAAGTTTACAATTGCTATGGAAGCTGGGGTTCATAGTAGGGATTCGGCTGTTCAAAGGACTATTGAGGAAAGACCCATTCATCCTGTCCTTTAGATATATAATGTCTTGATCTGGTGACCCCTGTTCCAAGGGTATTTGATCGTAGAACGTCATTTGCGTCTCCGTTTCTGCTTCATGCGCATGTTTCTGAGACACCGTTGTGGAATCCAGCTTAAAAGGCGTCCTCCTCTGCAGCTCTTGCGCTAGTATGGCCTAGCCTCTCTTTTCATCCTCCTCCTTCGCTGCCATAAACACTTTGGCAAGCATCTCCTCGGCTTTCTTCCTGGCGATAGCTGCATCCTTGGCCTTCCTCTCCACCTTGTTCCGGGAAAAAGAAACTGCCCTCTTCATCGAAGCTGATGCCAGTTGAGAGGCAACGAGAAGCACCTTCGCGGACTTACGATCAATCACCCGCCGCCATTGTCCATTCATCACACGCTTTTCCTTCGCAACCGTAGCCTTCTTTCTAGGCGACACAGCGGCCTCCACATCACAGTCGAGGTCAACCCGAAAATATGAGAAACCTTCGGGGTTGGCGCAGCACGGACAGACATAGTCACCGGGCTCCCTGGCGTCTGGCAGGCAGGCAGCGTGGCATACCGACGAGCATTCGGAGCAGTGAACGAGAGCGGACGTCCGTCCGCCGACACCTCCTCTATCGAGCAGCTCAAAACAGTGGGAGCAGAAAGACTCCCGGTGGCACCCAAGGACGCAGGAGGTGCAGAGGCGGCGCAGGTTCCCCCTGTGCCGCACATGGTGGACAGGCCAGGGTTCTCTACCCACGCAACCATCGCCTTCGCAGCACACGACGCCAGACTTCTCGCATTGTAGGAGATGGTGTTGCGGCTCCTCCCCCTTCACCAGCCTCACTCCAGGAGATGCCGCTGTGGTCGCCACCGCCGCCATCGCGTAGTCGCTCATCCTCCTCAATGCATCGATCTAGAAGACAGAAGGCTCGAGATCACAAGAACCCTAGGGAACAAACCCCGTTTCTGATTCGTCTCCTCGCCAGCCAGCAACAAAGAGAAAACAGAACGATCAACGATGAGAACCAAACAAGCTCCCCCTCTCTTCTCTCCTTCCGGGGCTGGCGTTATGATGTTCATCGTATTTCTAATAACGTTTTTGTAAGCATATCCACTTAAGTTGATAAACTTAATTATACGCCTCTATTTGTATAATTCCACTTATACTCTCAACGTCCTGCTGACGCCATCTTCCTACGTGTTTTCAATTCTCGGGGAAATGAGCTTATCTGCAAATGCGTCCGTCCAACTGTTCCAGCCGAGAGGTTTCGAGATCTGTTCCCGCTAAAAAAACAGATTCAAAAAGCCAGAATCCTGGGTTTTTTTGAAAAAAGTGTCTTTAACTACCAAAAGCCTCTCTACATATTATAAACTTATAAAAAAACCCTGGAAAATATATGATTCTAAGAAAGATCTCTGAATTACAGTGATACAAAATTATTTTTTAATAAAAGTACTGAAATACCCTTTTTCGGATCAATCCGACTGGCATGCCCCTAGATTGGGCGGGTAAGTAAGTATTTACTATTTTTCATCGGGGTAAGAGGTGCATGTAAAACTGTAATAATCATTATAAGAAATGATGATAAAAGGACGTACCTACGAATCTTGTAAATACAATTATTTTTTATAATTAGAAGTGTTCTGGGGGTTAAAAAGATATAATGTGTTCAAATGGTGTATCTAACTGATTTAATTTAATTTATTTATAAGGAGGAAATCTAAATACGTATTCTTGAAATGGTTCATATGGTTTTTCAAACCGGAAGGATGATGTGAGAACAGTGTGAAGTAGATGACTAATTTTAAATTTCTGTGGCCATTCGGGATAATTTTTCACAGTTTAGTGTCTGCCTTCTCCTTGTTTAACAATAAATCTTCTGGAATGGTCGCGATCGCTTGATTTCGAATCCGTTGTACCCACCCCAAACTTCGTATCCTTCCTCTCTCTCTCTCTCTCTCTCTCTCTCTCTCTCTCTCTCTCTCTCTCTCTCTCTCTCTCTTCCTCTGAGTCCCATGAAGACAGTCAGGTGAGGTGGAAGCGGCTGCCGCGGCAACCTCCCCTTCCGGACTGGGCTTTGAGATTTTCCTCCGGTATCCAGGGAATATCCGTCTTCTTCTCGCGGGAAGGATGAGATTCCTAGGGTTAGGAGTTGTGTGGCGACGGCGATTGCCCAGAGTACTGGAATTGTCGGAGTCTTCCCCGGCAGTTCTTCTCTCTGGTTCTGTTGCTTTTAGAGCATTGCCTCCGTCTTCGGCGTGGACGCCAAGCTTGGTCTGGGATCTCCGCTCGTACTCAACAGGTAGAGGCGCCTATGTTTTCGTTTTTGAGAATCGGAGGCCTCCACAACGTGGACATGGGCTGGTGCCTAGAGGGTGCATCAATTTTAACAGAATATGAAATCGTGATAAAATTAGTTTTATAACGGGGGAAGGACGTGGATTTTTCTTTCCTTTTGAGTGGCATTTTGGTTCTTCATTGAGATAGCTCTTCATGTGATTTTCTGATGCTCCATCGCAGGGACGGGGATAGATTTCAGAACTTTTGATAATGAAACTCTCAAGGAATCTACAAAATTATTAACTCTAAATACAATCTTTTCTTTTACTGTTCTTATAAAATGTTTCCTCTAAATACAAAAGTGTCTGATCTGATGTTTCTATTTTGGACTGTTTAAGCTAAATCCATGGATTTTCCTGGTAATGCCTCCATTTATATTTTTTCCGTATTTCGACCTGTGATTGCCAGAAACTCAACCTCAACTCACTACTGGGATTATAAAGATAATGGAGCAGAGAATGGTGGCCATTGAACAGCGGAGTGCATATCTTCATGAACGGGTCAATCAGGTAACATATGTTCTCAGTTATCATGTCATACGCACTGAATTTGGAATCTCGTGACATTTTCCCTAATCCGTAGGAATATTTTTGGTAAATTCATTCTGCATCCATTTCATGACAGAGTACTCTTATAATGTGAAATTTAGAGATAGATAATTTTTGGACAGTTAAAAATTGAGGAAGAAATGCAAGAATGTCTCATCCTTTAAGAACTTGGCATTAGTGAACATAAGATTTACTCAGTTGTATGTGTCATATTTTTATGCTGTTTTCAGGATATGCACATGTTCATGTACCAGTAATTAAACTCCAGGTTAGGAATGGCCTGGTTAATTCAATACTCATCTTTTGGCTTAGATGGAGTTAGCCAATATCGAAACCGACCTTTCAAATTAAAAAATAAAAGGAATTTCTAGATTTAGTGTGTATTTCTGTATTTTTTAGTTTATTTTCTCTCTAAAAGAAAACGTAGAAGAAAATGAGATGAAGAGGGTTTTGAATGAAGTGCTGATGTTGAGAATAACGTCTATGAAGCATCATGAGTAGATGTAGCTCATGTTCCTGGAACTAATGTACGCAGTATTTTGCTCTTCGATTGTGCGTTTTGATACTGACAACTAATGACATATTATTCTTCTGATGCGTTTACTATTTCACTTCCTTTGGGTTGAGTAGTTAATGTTTCCCTTTGGTTTAAACTTGATATTATGTGAAGACAGCCGGAGGCTACAACTGCTGAGTATTCGACAGCAAATAAAGAGCTTCAACAGCTTGAGGACACTATGGAACTTATAAGGGATTTGAGGGCTAAACAAAAGGTGATGCGAATTTTTCTTCACACCAGGAGGATGTATCAACATAATTTTTTGTGTCTCTAATCCTTTCTCCTTCAGTAGCTGTACATCATCCCCATAGAAGAACAGAGTCGTTCTTATTATTTTGGGAATGATTCGATGCCATTAAAATGTGCAGGATGCATACTCCAAGAATATATATATATATATATATATATATATATATGTTTAAACTAGACAGTTAAGATTGAAGGATTTTTCAATCGTTTATATATATATATATATATATATATGTTTAAACTAGACAGTTAAGATTGAAGGATTTTTCAATCTTTTTTCCCGATCTTAAATTTTTATATGTTCTGTTATCTCAAAAACATTGTTTCCAATTATCTCGCACTAGCTACAGAACATCAATTCGACTAGTTACGAATTAATATTATTTTTAAGTTTCAGCTGTCTTCTGAAATTCATTGCCCTGTGTTGTGTTGTACTTCTTTTGGATATGTTGTGCCACTCCATTTGGGTCAAATTTATTTCACTGGTTCGTGAGATTTCCCTCTGTCATTCATTGAGTTTCTTATATTTTTTCTGTCACTGAATAAAATGCCTCATTGTGGATGTGCTGTGCCACTCCATTCAGTGGTGGATTGCATTTATCTTTCTGGATGGTGAGATCTATCTAACATCCATTGAGTTTGACAAGATTTTCTGAAAATACTGGCCGAATAGTAAACTGTGATGGGTACAGTGGTGATAAACCAAATTGGTTTCAAAATGGAGGTAGATTTTACATGTTGTATCACAACGCCAACATTCATGTTGGTGAAAATTATTTTCAACTATCCGATTATGTTAGTGTCTCGCCAAGTGTAGACTGGTTTATGAAGTTTTTAATGAATTTGTACTCCAGTTCGCATGTCAGCGTGAATGTCTTGCACAACTGGTTGACAGCTCCACGGTTTTCCTTTGTTAATAATTTATTATTCACTTCTGAGTTATGTGTTTTCTCTTTTGTTGTCTTCATTGCGTGTATCTGTTTCTCAGATCGTTCCTTCCATATTCAGGCAACTTAGGAAAAATTAAAACGATTGTCTAGATTTATGGTGCTTTAATATGCATGATGAATAAATAATAGCACCCATATTTCATGTGCTAAATTTTGAAGACAGTACTTTGATTCGTAGGAAATTGATGGCCTAAAATCGTTGTTGGTTGAATGTCCTGAAGATAAAGATATGCAGCATATGGCCACTGAGGAGATGTCTGCAGCTAGAGAGGAGGAGAAGAGACTGCAGCTTCTTCTGCTAAAGTCGTTGCTTCCAAAAGATGATGCTGACGAAAAAGACTGTATTTTGGAAGTGAGAGCAGGTAGTGCATATGAATCTATCGGTTCACCGTTGAACGTCATCTGAATGTATTTATAATATGGTTGGGAATATCTTACAGGAACTGGAGGAGAAGAGGCATCTCTGTTCGCTATGGATATATTCAAAATGTATGCTTGTAATTGTTATCACTTGCACATTCCCTCCTCTCCTTGTGAATATTTGCTTCCAACAGAGTCTGTTTATGATGCATCAGGTATGAGAAATTCTCACAGAAAAAGGGATGGCAGTTTGATGTTGTTGAGATAATGGTGTCTGATTTGAAAGGTTACAAGGTACGCATATTTTGAATTTAATCAGTATCCTCTGGTAAATTAATCCTGTAGCATATCATTTGCAAATGGACGGATAACTAATTTAGATGCTGAGCACACCCCAAATTAGATTCCAAAACAGAGATCTAAACTGGTAGATTTGTTGAGTGTCCTGATTCAAATGTATATGTCATTGCTAAACGAATGGGATAGAAAGCGATAGTATTATTTTCATTTGTTTTCTTGGAGTGGTATTCCACCTTCATGGCATTTGTATATCACTCAATCCTCGTTTTATCAATCATTCCCTCCAGCCATATTATACCATGGTACTTTATGACCCTCATTGATAATATCTGACTTGTGAGTTGAATAGACCGCTGTTACATTAATGGAGAATGTATGCAAGGAAAGCAAGCATTGTGCCTAGTATCCCAAGGTTCAAGGTCCATACAAACAGAGAACAAGTTCTACTGCTGAATCATAATCTTAAATGTCACTATGTACTTTAAATAAAAAATGCTGAGCCTGTTATATTGGTGAGTTTTTCATATCATAATAGAATTTGTAATATACGTTTTCTTACTGAATAAAAATGGTTTAGTAAATTTCTTGCCTCTTATATGTCTTGCGTTGTGAAACAATTTCTAACTTAGGAGTGTATACTTGCTAATTGAAACCTACCATAGGCTACATGGGTATAATATTTTTTGGATAACACAGTTATAAAAGCCTTTTCTTATCTGATATGCTTCCTAAATTCGTCTTCAGGATCTGCTTTCCCGAACTGTGGTTTTTCTTCAATTTTGTTCGTTTGTGTCACATTGAATTTCTCGTTTCCTTGAAATAAATAAAGTGCAATTTTGTGCGTTTGCATTTTATAGGAGGCCAGTGCAGCAATTTCAGGGCCTGGTGCGTACGGCCTGCTTAAATTTGAAAGTGGTGTTCACAGAGTTCAGGTATAAGAAAATATACCATCATGAGTTTTGACCATATGCGCTGGAATCTATGTTTTACGCGGTTCAAATTGAAATGTGGATGTTCATAAGTCAAATTTTCTTGTTTCAGCGTGTTCCAGTGACAGAGAAGTCTGGACGTATTCACACTAGTGCAGTTTCTGTTGCCATACTCCCACAAGCTAGTGCGGTAAACTTGATGCTTAACTACTATTTCAACTGTCACAATTTTTTCAAATGTCTAGTTTCCTATGTGTTCTTTTGGACTGACCATGCAGCTATTGTATATACTTGTTGGTTCATCTTTTTACTAATGTCTGCTATGGGCCAGACTAAGTTGGAAGCCTAAGCTAGCTGTTATCTTCCAGTGTGGGTCTATAGAAAAAGGTCCAGAACAAAAAATGAGACCATCCCATTCCAGTGATTATCATGGCACGGTCCAAACTCACTGTTGTTTAGCCCTGAAGCTTGATGGCGTAAAGGACGTGTAATAAACTTTCCCTCCAGAAGTAGATCCTGAATTTCGTTTTCATTGGATTAGGAGTCGTATTTATCCTCTGTAACTCTAGCGTGATTTATCACAATTTATCTATCTATTTTTAGTCCTATGGGATTTTATGAATGATTTTTTTTTGTTGGGCCTACTTGACACACTATACATCTAACAGGGAAAGGAATAATTCATAGATGACCATCCGATGTCCTGTAACACTGACCTAGTACTTCATCATCTACTAGGAAGTACGGAAAACCCTATCCCCCCTTGGTTCCATCAACTCTTGGTGCATGTTCTTTCTATTCCTATTTAGTTACGATGCATAATAGAGGGGTAGCCCCTTTGGTGTTGTTCTCCATCTGCTAGTCCCTTAAACGTCTGAAAGAAGCTCAGGGCATACTGTAGTGAATCTTAGATCCATCCTGTATTGCGTGATTCCTGTTTGGCATTCTTAAGAAGTCTTAGCCACTGGAGATGTGTGGAATTTCTTCTTACTTCAGGTAAATACAGTCTACGTGCTTCCTCTGTGTTGTTTTATTTGCTGTAAAAAGCCTACTACCACAGTTGCTGTGGCAGAAAAACTGGTCTCAGAAGTCCCATGCACTGAAAGTTGAGGAATTGATATTAACATCTCATGAAAAACGGTCATGTCGGTTATTCTAACCAAAATATGCCAGCTCTCGGACGGCCCATTGTTGCCTAGGCACAATCACAATCTCAAGTACGTGGAAGTGATACAGGTTTTATTTTTTGGATTTTTTTTTATTAGATTAGTTTGGAAGAATAATAAGTTGCTGACAAAAACAAAGTTTTTTAATATAAATCAGTCGAGGAGACTTCCATTTGTGATGGAATTTCGATTTTTATGCCAAATATTAGGAACACACATGTTTTTCCGCGTGGAAAGATGGGCCATGACAAGCACATGTTTTATTCTCTCCTTGACGTTCGCTTTGTGCTGCTCAGTGTGCTCAGATGGTTCTGCTTCACGCTCAGTGAAGCTAGTACAGTGTGGAAGATTGGATTCCAATCTGTTCAAAGTTCTGTTGGTGATTATACAGGAGTTAAAAAACTTAATGTTAAAGAAGCACTTCCAAATGTTCTAGGCGATTCGGAGGGCGAGGAACAATTAGAATATTTTAACAAGAGCTTAAACCTCTGCAAGTGATTGTTAACCGAGCTATGGGGAGCAATGGGCTAGAGAAATGGACATTGATGACGATAGATACCCTACACAGTCTTGGCTAAAATTCAGTCGAGGAAGAATGTGTGTCGATTTTCCTCCTGGGTAGTCAAAGGCGTTACTTTTTTGTTTTCTGGTTCTCGAATTGTTATCGTTCCCTGATGTACCGTGCTCCTTTGATCTTTAATAGCAAACTATTCACCCTAAATAAAATATTATCCTTTTCCTTGATGCTCACTTTCCCTGTGTGGTGGGTAGTAGTTGCGGTCATTTGGTAGGAAATGCCCATCCTAAACTGTCTTTCTTGGTATGTTCCTAGAGTGAGAAAATGTGATTGCTTCTCATTCGAGGTCTCTGCAGGTAGATGTTCAAGTACGCAATGAAGATTTAAAGATTGATACTTACAGATCGGGTGGCTCTGGAGGCCAACATGCTAACACCACCAACAGTGCTGTTAGAATAACGCATTTACCCTCGGGATTGACCGTATCGATACAAGATGAAAGGTCTCAACACATGGTAAACAATTCTCTTCATACCCCAGACAACGATTAAATTCTTTGATTCATTGAGCATGTTGGTACGATGAAAAAAGGCTTGAGGTTGCTATTTTGAGTTCCCCTTCTTGATTCATCTTCTGCTTTCCTTTTGCATTCTCGCATTGTTCCATTGTTCATCAATTCGTTCACCCCAAGAACCCAAGTGGGACATCGCAGGCATTCCATTTGTGGTCGGTCTGGAGTGAGCGAGCGGACTCTGTTCCTCGATGTTTTCTGGGCTGGTCAGGAATGCTTGCCTGCATTCGTTCATCACGCAGAGAGAAGCCAGAGCCCTTGTAGAGACTACAACACATTGCCCGTTTCGGGCAGAAAATAGCTGCTATTTTTCATTAATTCCTTCTGGTTTCTGCAACTCCTCTACAGAACAAGTCCAAGGCCCTGAAGGTCCTGTATGCCAGATTATACGAGCTGGAGAGGTCTCGACAGCACGCCTCCCGCTCCAAGCTTCGTGCCCAGCAGGTGAAATTTCTACCAATACCCAAGAATTTTCCTGCATATTAACCACATATCTTCTTTTTTTTGCTGTCGCATTCGCCGTTCTTTCACCATTTTTACATGTGTGATTGATGATTATGGTGTGTTCTTGGCGAACTCGTGGTGTACTTCCATGCAGATTGGGTCCGGCGACAGGTCTGAGAGGATCCGCACGTACAATTTCCCGCAGGGGCGAGTGACCGACCATCGTGTCGGCATCACCGTCCACTCCATTGCAGAGGTCCTGGAGGGGGAGAGCCTCGAGGCCTTGATCAATGCCCTGCTCTTGCAGGAGGAGATGGACGCCATTGCATCGTTCACCTCCGGCTCCTCCCTCTAGTAGCCTGACGCGATGGGGAGAGGACCTTCCAGGTGGCAGTTTAGGTATGAATCCGCAGTTGGGTCGTTCATTTTTTTGACTCCCCCGGCTTTTTAGTGTTGACTTCAAGAGCGGAAGAAAGAAACCCACTTGGGTCTTAGGCCAGATGTTGGGGGGTTGACTTTTGTGGCTAGTGTTCTTTTGGGCCGGCCAAGAATGGATCATGGCGATTTTGTTTTGACCCAGGTGGACTGAAAATGTGAAAACATTGACTTAGTGATGTAGAATGGCGTGCACAACCCAAGGAAAGCCCAAAAAAATAGTGGTCCGAGTGTTTTAAGAATTGGGCATGATTTTCCTTATTTTCTCTTTCCGAATTTGTGTGGATTCAAGGCATGATTTAGGGTTGGATTTTCAATTTTCTTTTTTCAGCTTATGCTGCGTGGTGTCCACGGTTCATGATGTCGGGTGGCTGACTTTTTGACTTCGTCGGATTTGAAGTGTTGACTCAAGGAGTGAGGAAGAAAGCCGCAAGGGTTTTGGACCAGATGTGGCAGGGTTGACTCTTTACTAGCTGACACCTGTTGCACTGATATTTGGAGGCACGTAAAAGACTCTGGTTTTTTCTGGCCTCCATAGCCGAAGCTGGGAGCACCACACCCGAATTTGAGGATGGAGGAGACACTCCGAAGTGTTGCATTTCCTTTATTTGCCACCTCTCTCTCTCTCTCTCTCCCCTTCTATGTATCTATCTATCTCAAGGTAGGCAAGTCAAGCGCAGAGAGTGAGAGAGAGAGAGAGAGAGGTGCAGATTAGGTATGAAATAGGCCGGGCCTATTCTTGCCCTGTTTCCAAGGGTTAATTTGCCTAGGCCCATTTTGGGCTTTTTCCTCCGGCGCAAAATAACTCGCCGGGTTAATTAGCTCAGCCCGTTAGCGTTCCATGTTTGAGCCCATTACAGCCCGGGTTCAAATTCCGATTCGGTCCGAGCCCATTATCTCCCTTTCAGTGAGATCCGAGTCCTATTATCGGGCCTCGGATTCTATTTACATCCGCTTAAACAAGAGCTGGCTGGTCCTACTGCGCGGGGAATAGAAAAGCTTTTTCTTCTCTTCCCTGCCGCCCCCCCCCCCACCCCCCTCGGCAGACTCTGCTGAACATCTCCGCCTTGGTCTTCGCTTCCTCGCCTGCGATGGCGATGGCTTCGCGCATCGTCCGGCGGCTCCTCCCCAGCGGGGGACGAGGGGGTGCGATCTCGATGTCATCTCCTCTCGGTGGGAATCTCAACCCGGCGGTCGATTCTGCCGGCGGGCTCCTCAGCCCTGCCTCCTCCCGATTTCTCTCCTCGTTGGACACGAGCCCAATTAGGGCCACGCTTTTCCCTGGCGACGGGATAGGGCCTGAGATCGCGGAATCTGTGAAACAGGTTGATCCTTGAAAGAGATGACGGCATTCCCAGTGCCGTAATTTTTTTGTTTTTCATTTTATCGTCTGCGTTGATCTCATCTGAAATTGAGCTTTACCTTCACTTTTTTGAAGTCAAACCTATTATAGTTTTTAATTTATTTTTATGATTTTTTATATGTTTTTTTCTCAATGGCTTCCGCGGAATTTTCTTCTATTGACTTTGGTGATGGAAGGATTTGCTCAGTCGATTTGACGACCCTCGGCTCATAATTTTTGGGATCATGTTCCTGCGTCTCATTTAGGTATCTGTATTTACTTATTTAGAATGTAGGTATACTAAACTGGCTACTGCGGGATTCTCTGGCTTCCAGGAGGATACATGGATTAGAAATTAGATTAGGATGCTTGGATCCGTTCTAGTAAAGTTTCAGTTTCATTATTGAAGCTTTTTTATTTCTTCACCCACATTTAAACAGTATTTTGAAGAAATGTAGTGGAAAATTAATGCTGGCAGTGGAGCTGGGGCTGAATCAGGGTTTTCTTTTCTACTGGACTCGTAGAGATATCGTTTCTCCACATGATTTATTTACCCCTTCAAATTATTTGAAGAGGATAGTTTGCTTCTTATCTGATAGGGACTGCCAATAGAAACATATTTCAAGCCTGCAACTTATGATGAGCTCAGTATTTGTTCAACTGAAGGAAAATGTGTCATGGTGGTTGGGAATTTTCCATCCAGGTGGTGGCAACAGTAGAGCACGATTAGTAGAATTAGAAAAGAGGAGGTATGTTGGCAACAGGAGAAAGAATTGGGATTGAATCAACTTTCTTCGATTGATTGTTTGGAATTACGTCCATAAGGCACTGTTCTTCGGTGTAATCTGTAGGGGTCATTGTTAATACTCCTGCTTACTGATTTGGAGAATCTCAAGTGTTATTTTAGTATTGGTGTTGTTTTTGGTCGATCTATGGATGGTGCACGAGATTTTGTGTTGGGAAACTATTGATCAAACTTGCCAAACGTGCTGTCAGTGCTGCAGAGAATCTTACTTCTCACGTTGGATGCTATTTCTAATGTTTAAAAGATGGAATGTCCTACAAGAGACCTTTGTCAGATCTAAAATTTATGAGAAATCTGGCTGATCACATGCTATATGTCCAAATGGAATAGTCACACAGTTCTGTTGACAGGCAATTTCTCTCTATAACCAATTCGACTCCTTATGTTGTTATTTCCAAGAAAACCAAGTTGAATTAAGTCAATTCATTTGCAGACCCTACCAAATCACGTGAGCTTACGAACAACTTTCTAAATAATGCTGGATTTGTAACATTGTTCCTCTCTTGGCCTGTTTGACACGTAATAACAATAAAAAATTTCGGCGAACCATCCTGACTCTCCTGAGTTGGATCAAATCAGCAAAATATAGCTGTAAAAAGGCTTTAAAGGAAAGGTCTTTGTGGAGTATACTTCCATGTATATGCTTTAAGTTCTCTATGTCATTTAGAAACCCTTCTGCATCTTAGGCTGAACTGTATCGCATCTTCCCTTTAGTACATATTGTGATCCATCAACCCTGTTAGAAAACCTGGTCTGTGTTCAAATCAACTCTATGTTGTAACATATGAACATTAATGTTGTTGACATGAAAAGGTGAGGAGCATCTGATATTTCTTGGTCATCAGATTTTCTAAGTCAGGGCATGGCATCAGTGCATACAATCTATCACTTACGATGGGGTTTCCTGTGGCTGGAATTGCAACTGCTTTTTCTCAGTTCTACCTTAAACCTTGAACATATTCATCATCATCACTCCCACTGTGTTCTCATGATTACCCAATGTCATTGACTGTAGCAGTAGTACTGATCTTAATTTCAGGGCTTTTTATCTTGCTATCCAATGTCATATTTCATTAGCTGTTCTTTATCTGGCCTTCTGATCAGCTTTATATCCAAAAGGGTATTGAAAGAACTAATTTACGTAATGATTTTGGCCATAAAGAACAAGAACAGACCAACCAGGCATTGGGTTCCCTGGGTCTGGGTGTGGGGGCAGATGTATTCTAATCGATATATATTGGTGATAGATCAGTCGAACGGATCAGGCCTAGGACCCGTTCGTAATTTTGGGCTCATGGATAGCTCGTGTTACATTGGTCTGGCTGGATCCAGGCTTTCTCAAACTGGCCCCAGCCTTGTCCAATTCACCTTGATTTTGACATCCCTATCTTTGACCTGAAGAATTCTATTTCAATCATGTCTGATTCTCTTCATCTTTTAACTGACAAATGATGATTGTTTTGGTGAACAGTCAAGAATACGAAGGGTTGAGTTCGTATGAGGTCAGAGGCACAAAAGGGGACATCAATACATCCTATAATTCTGATGCTGTTTATCCTTTTGGACTGAAAGTCACTAGCCTAGCTTCTATAAGAGTTGAATGGCTATATGGGTTATGCTTTGCAACATGCGACAATGCTTAATATGCTGAGCTCATCATAAGTTGAACAAATACTGAGCTCATCATAAGTTGAACAAATACTGAGCTCAGTATTTGTTCAACTGAAGAAATATTGTCGCATGCTCAATATGCTAATATTTCTTCATTCGTTCCTACAATCTATAGTATGCATTTCATGTTAAAGGTTCCCAATTATTCATTATTTATTAATTTTCTAGGCCATTCTTAAATATTGCACAGGTCTTTAACGCAGCTGAAGTCCCCATTGAATGGGAAGAGCATTTTGTTGGGGACAAAGTAGATCCCAGAACTGAGAGCTTCCTAACATGGGAAAGCTTGGAGTCAGTGCGACAAAATCTGGTGGGCTTGAAGGGTCCCATGGCTACTCCAATTGGAAAGGGGCACCGGTCCTTAAACCTAACCCTGAGAAAAGAACTTGGTCTTTATGCCAACGTCAGGCCTTGCTATAGTCTTCCTGGCTACAAAACCCGTTACGACAATGTGGACCTTGTAACAATTCGTGAGAATACCGAAGGAGAGTACAGTGGCCTTGAACACCAGGTTGGTGCCTTGACAAGATGTTAATGGGTACTCTGTTTCTGATTCACCTAGACATCTGTGTATATATTTGTATTAATTTAATCTGGACTGCTCTAGGTTGTACGAGGTGTTGTTGAGAGCCTCAAAGTCATTACACGTCAAGCAAGTCTCAGGGTGGCAGAATACGCTTTCCATTATGCCAAGACCCATGGCCGGGAAAAGGTTTCTGCCATACATAAAGCCAACATTATGAGGAAGACCGATGGTCTCTTCCTCAAGGTATGGACAACTCATCTGGGTACCCTCTCCTTCTCCGTCGTAAGTAACTGGATTTTCTAACAAGATCTACTAATTCTTATCCTCAGTGTTGCCGGGAGGTGGCTGAGAAATACCCAGATATTACTTATGAGGAAGTCATCATCGACAACTGCTGCATGATGGTATAATCATGCTGCATCTTCTAAAACTAAATTGTTCAAAAATGTAATTTTTTATTCGTGATGTAATTATTATTGTCCAGGGTGCATATTTATATTTGAAAACATTTCTTTGATTATGTTCTGATCTACTAAATATGATTTATGTAAAGTTTATAACTCTTTGTTTTATAAGATCATCTGATCTTACAATCTTTTTGCCTTTTCGACAGCTTGTGAAGGACCCGACTGTCTTTGATGTACTTGTAATGCCCAACTTATATGGGGACATCATCAGCGACCTCTGTGCGGGATTAATCGGAGGCTTGGGCCTCACTCCGAGGTAATAAATTCACCATTTTTTTCTGGTTACATTCATCATAGCTCTTAAAATTGTGATAGCACCGTTTATTTCTGCAAGTAAGACATGAGTTTGGGTTGTGTTTGATCTTTTGTGTGCATAATGTCTTATCCAGTTGCAACATTGGGGAGGGAGGCATCGCTCTTGCAGAGGCTGTTCATGGATCAGCACCAGATATTGCAGGGAAAGTGAGTCAAATGTTCCTGTTTCTCCCCTCATCATTTTTAGTATATATGTTCATAAACTTGCACGCATGCATATGCAAATAATATGTATGTAACTTGAATGGCCTGGGTTATGTACCCATGGTCAGCCAAGAATCGCCCCCCAAATCAGTTCTTCAACTCGGATTGGCCGGTTCCAGGGCATGAATGTCTACCATATGGTGCTCAAAGGGCCCATTATTCAAGGCCCGGCCTGATATCTGAGTGCCTACTTTTGGATCGGTCAGCCTTCCGAGTAATCCTCATCTTCTTTATATTCAGAACCTGGCGAACCCAACTGCCCTGCTGTTGAGCTCTGTCATGATGCTGCGGCACTTGAACTTGAATGACAAAGCCGAACGGATCCACAGAGCCATCCTCAACACCATCGCGGATGGGAAGTACCGGACTGGTGACCTCGGTGGCACCGCCTCCACGGCGGACTTCACCAAGGCTGTGTGTGGTCATCTCTAAGATGGTTCCTGCATGCTCTCTTTTCCAGGCATCTGATTGGATTATCTTGATTGACATCGTCCACATGGGTCCGTGGGCCTCTGCTGAATCAATAAAAGGATCTCAACTTTCCCATTTCTTCCTGCCTTCCTCCTCCACCATTTGAACGAAGTTTTGAAATAATCTGTACCATAAACTTCACACATTATCACTTAAGAAGCCCTTTCTTAAGCTGCTGTCTGCTTTTGGGGAATTGGAGCTCGCCAGCATTGTGGGACCCACACGTTTCCTTCTTCCAGGTATTTGGCTGGCTTCTCTCTACACCCCCCCACCCCCCACCCCCCCCAAGGTCGTCCGTCCACGTGGGACTGTAGAATTATATGGAACTAACAAGAGAAGGAAAGAAATTTCTGTCTCAACTTTTCCGTTCCATCCTGACTTGCAGATCCCTCTTTTATCATGGTTTTGGAATAATCTGTCATATAAGCTTGGTACATTATTGTGGAACAAGTGTTTTTTCCTCTGCATCATTCAAGTTCTTGGTTTCTCTGGTGTGGTCATCCTGTTGACTGGAAAAAAAATTATATGCCCTGGGTGTGGATTAGGATTTCCAAGTAGCGAGGATTATGATGGTCTTTCCTTGTCACACAAGAAGAATAAGATGGGATCTTATACAGGGCCAAGCCCATGCTTTGACCCAGGCTGCTTGTTTGAGCCACTTCCCTTGCCTGGGGAAGGCCTGGGATGGATGATCTTCCTTGGCTCGAGCTTGAAGATGGCTGCTGGTGGAAGATGTCTACGTGGCTCCTGGTGTGTCCTACATTAGGTGGGTTTTGACTGCAGCATGGCAGTTCTAAGTTTTAATTCCTTTCTCTAAGGGAAAAATAAATTAGAGGTCCTTATTAAGTCTATAGATATTTTATCTCATTCACACTTTTGCATGAACATAGTTTAAACTTTTGAGAAAGTAAGTACTAATGTTTTAAAATAATGAATCATCATCTTTATGCTTTATGAACTATTAAGATATTTAGAGGCGCAAATACTCATGGTACTCATAGATACTCATGATGCAATCTTGACATTGTTAGAAAAGTGGAATTAAGAAAATGAGGATTTCAGGACATTTATTAAGTGAAATTATCAATAATTTGTCTTTATCAAACAATGTCCACTTGCATCATTCTACCAGATTTGATTTCATGAAGAATAATCGATTGCATCTTCTATTGGTAATCTTGATCTCCAAAAAATGATAAAAGTGAAAATGAGAGTTCTTCTCTACTATTTTTCTTAATAGGAAATGAAGAAACTTGGCTGGAGGAGAAGGGAGAGACACAGAGAAGGGAGCCAAGAAAAAGGAAATTGTAGACACAAAAAATGGACTTAGGGTTTTTGATGGTTAACTCTTGTGGTTAAGGGTTTCGCTGAAATTTTAATGTCTGTAATGTAGACATAATTTTAACATACTAAAAAGATTGTCACTCATAAATAATTGATGAGAAAATATCCCCCATCTCTAGCATCACTTCATCAAATTGAGGGTAGATATCAATCATGTTCAATCTGACAAGAATTTAGGTGAATGAGTTTGATGATAGACCTTTCATAAAGATATTTACAACTTGATCTTTTGATTGTACATGAAGGACAAGATTTCTTTGAGTCAAGCTTTTTCCAACAAAATATCGATCAATTTTATATTGTAGTAAACTATTTAGAATAGTCACCAGTGGTGTTATCATAGTAAAGTTTCATTAGTAGTCTAGCATCAACAAAAGGTCTTTAACGAAGTGTTTTAACTATAATAGTTTAGCCACTTTATAAATAGTATCGTGTTATTCAACTTTTACATCGAGTCTAGCCACCAAGGTTTATTTCTTGCTGCTCCATGTAACAAAGTTTTCTCCAAAAAATATACAATATGCTATAATAGATTTGTCAATTTAGTGAACAACAATCTTTTCTTGGACATGAAAACGTACTATAAATTGTGATCTATCACCTATAAGTGTTGGGTCCTAGGAGTAGAAATATATTGGCTAACAATACTATTGCATAAGCTAGATTAGGTCTAGCTAATGATAAGTATAGTTTTTTTTCTTATTATCCACTAATATGAGCATTTATTTTTAGTTGAGAGTTCATTCATTTATGGGTTGATGAGATATTGATCACTTTCCTAAGGTGTTCTGGTGGGTTTTCTCCCTAACTTCTCTCTCTCCTGCAAGGGTTCAAGTGAATGTTTCTTTTGGCAAACAGATAAATCTCCCTTTGACTTTATAATTTCAATGCTAAGAAAATACTTTAGATCTCCCAGAAATTTCGATTGTTAATTCTTTTACCAATTGGTTCTTTAAATACTCTATTTTGTAGATATTATCACCTACAAAGATTATGTCATCAATGTAAAACATTCAAATTGCATGCCATTCACATCTTATTTTTATGAACAATGCATAATCTGTATTTATTTGGTTACAACCAAATCATAATATTGCTAAAGCCTTCTAAACCATGTGATGAGAAATTATTTAAAATCATACAATGTTCTCTATAGGTGGTATACCATTCCTTTAGTGTCTAAACATTGAGGAGGATGCACATACACTTCTTATTTTAAATTACTATGGAAAAATATATTTTTAACATCTGATTGATACAAGTTTTAACAATAGAAGACTACTAGTGACAATATTACACTCACTGATTTCAATTTTACAACTGATGCAAAAGTTTCATTATAATGAATTCCATATATCAAGTTAAAGAGTTATAATTAATGATGAATATTTATTTGGACCCAACTATAGATTTGATTGCAAGTAAATCTTCCAATTCCCATGTCCTTTTCTCTAGAGCTTTTATTTCTTTTGTTATTGCCTTTACCCACTTTTAGTAATAGAAAATGAATTCAATGATGTTATGGAGGTTATAGAGGAAAGAATGACATATATTTATGAGATATTCTTAAGTATTTACACATTTAGATGTTAGGTGTCTTCTGCATTAGCAAACTCTTTTTAGTATCACAATAAGAACTTCAATAGGGATTAACACTTCAACACTTGACATAGTGCTACCTTAGGACTAGAAGGTTTGACAATTTCATGAGGTGAAGGTTTAGCAATTAGTCTTTGCATATCATTGGTAATCAGAAATGAGTTTCTTCTTAGTCACCATAGGCTCAACCTGATTAATGGGTTCTTCACTAAGATAACATATGGCACTAAGATGTTCAAGGAGTGAGATGTCTTCTAAGGATAGAGTAAACCATAGGTAAGGGTTGGATTAAGTATTGTTAAGTTTCATCATAAGATTGTGATGACTCTTCCCCTAAGTCAGGAACTTAAGAGAGTAGAAGAATTAAGACTCAATAAAAGTAACACCTCTCAAGATATATTTTTTGATAGTTAAGAGATCATGTATCCTCTAATTGATTCAGGAAAAATATTTAAGATCAAGCTAACACTTCCGGAGGAAGAGGAAACAATGATTTTAGAGGGAAAAATGATGAAAATAGGGTTTTGCACTTGGTGGTGATTGATAGCATTCTATTTATCAAGTATATGGTAGTAAGTACTGACCTCTAATCCAAAATTCCTTTTCGTATTATATTGAAAAAATAGTATACATATTAGGTGCTTATTTTTTTGTTGTGTTACATCATTTTTGTGTGTAGTATAAGCATAAGATTTTTGGGTACAAACCAGCTTACAATAAATCTAGTCAATCTTCATTGGGTTTGTTCTCTATTGTTTGTAGTGGATATTTTTTAATCAGCTGTAAAAAGAAAAATTGGTCAATAGGTGGCTCCAACAGGCCTGTTGAGTAGTTTGAACAAACCTTCAACGGTGACAACATAAAAAATAATCACTACGCCAAAGACAATGGTACTAATATTGATTCAAAAGAACTCAGAAAAGTGGTGCCAACAGATGATAAAAAATGAGTACCAAGTGGGGAGTCTAATTTCCTCATCAAATGAGACATACTCAATCGAGATAGAAAATAAACTGCTCCAATATTATGAAAAATGAGAGGATGAAACAGAGAGTGAGAAGGGGAGCCAACACAAAGGAAAACGAAAAAAACAGGTAGGTTTTTTGACAATTGCCCCTTGTTGTTAGGTTTTCACCCAAATTACAAGAAGTTCATAAGACCAGCAGAATTTTGACATATTACAAATGTTTCCACCCATGAAAAATTGGGAAGATTGCCTCTCATCTCTCACAACAATAAAAAATGATGTGAGGCATGCTGAGTTTTAAGACCAAAATTTTTGTTGTTGACAAAAGCATACAATAGAAAAAAAAACTCATTTTCATTGTAAAATAATGCAGTACAGCACTTGTAATTTTTTAACCTCTAGTTTATACTTTTAAATAATGTAAATTATAATATATTTATTTTTTACATTACAGTACATCAATACTAATGTTTTAATATATCATGTTTATATTGTAGAATATAATCATATTTCATCGTTAATAATATAGTATATGTAAAGTCTCTATAATTTCAGAATAGTGCATTAATTATCTTGGTATGAATAATGAGTTTGTTTGTAGAGAAAAAAATATATTGATTTTAATATGTTACTAAATGAATATTGCATTAATATTAATATATCATTAATCTTTTTTATTGAATGATAAGATATATTGAACTTATTATGTCAATTTATGACACACCGCATTTACAAATAGCAAAAGACATTGAGATTAATATAACAATACATGACAAGTTATAACAAGCTTAAACTATAAATATATGGCATGCTATATTGTAAAATGGCGAAATCATGTTATAACTAAGACTAATGTTTCAATATATGAGAGCTATATTGGTTAATAGAAGCACAATATCTTAATATCTTAATATCTTAATATCTCGTTTATAAATTACTGTATGAAGCTGAATATTAAAGTATATGGAGTGTTCATACTGATAAAAATAGCATAAGGTCAACAATAGAACAAATTAGTAGATGCATAACATGTTAATCAAAATAGAATATTTTCATTGGTTTGATGTATGGAAGCTTCTATTGAAAGGCCGATGAAATAGAGTAAGACATCTAAAAAAGGGAGAAAAGTTGACACTCAAGAAAATAACAGAAGGAAGAGTTATTTTCTCCTCACAAAAAGTCTTAAATTATTTGGGATATCTCTTTCTTAGGTCCTCTGAACTTATTCTTATTGCTTCAAAACATCTAACCAAAGAGAGCCATTTGTTCATTTAGACCATAAACACCATCACTCTTGTTTCTCAACTTGGGAGATGATTTAGAGAGAGAGAGGGAGATAGAGAGAGATAGAGAGAGAGAGAGAGAGAGAGAGGAGCTTAGACAAACATACATTTTTTGCAATATGTTCTTGCACAAGCTTTTCAAGTTCATCAAGTAGTGAGCGTCCCTTGTACAGAAGGCTACAAAGATTAAACGAGAAACCATTACCTCTAAGCAAATCACAAGTAATTCCACCTTGTCATAAAAATAAAAATAAAATAAATAAAAAATCCACCTTGCCATGATCCACCTAGTCAAAAAATATATCCAAATATGGAAAGTTTCTAGCTTAGGCCTATAATAGCATCATGTTTATACATGACCCAATATAAACAGTAATATTTTTGAGATAATAAAATATAATGTGTATTAATCTCTGAATCACAAGACGAAATTCCATCACTTCCGATGTAATATCAGTAGAATTCACCACGGGATGGATAGGGCAAAGGAAAATTGAAAACAAGTAGTGACTCATAGCATAGAATTATGCTCTATAGGTAAACCCTAAAAAGACGGATCTTTGTCGAACACACCTCTGATTCAATCACTTCTGGCTCTTCTTTCTCCTCCTCTGCTAGTTTGGACTTGGAAGAAGAGCTTGCATAGCCTGGTTTAGGGGTTTTGGGTCTTAGTGTCAACTTGACTCTCTTCATCTCTCTCGTGTATCTGAGCCCACAAGCATTGCACAATGTCTTCCACCATCCACCATCATGAAGAACATGAAGAGCAAAATCGTGAGCCTCCTACTTCGTATGAAAAAAAACCGGAGAAATAAGATCAGATGTATCGTTTTGGAGCACTCAACTGCCTTGCTTTGATTATGTTGATAATTAAAGAAAGAAAAATAAGGGATTACTATGTAAGAGACGTTACTACACTGCCTTTTTTCGTTCTACTTAATATCTACCGTGCGAGGGAGCGAGAGAGAGAGAGAGAATGAGAGTACCTGAGGCCCGTTAGGCCCACCTCTCCACGTATGGCTCTCGGGAGTCAAACACATATCGCAGTGCCCTGGAACCCTTGGGATGAGGGTCTCTCCATCTTTGGGTGGGGAACGAGGGCCCAACCTGAGGTTGACTCCCATATTTACATCTGGCCTTTCGAGGGGGCTGACCAAGTCTTCCACCCTCCACGGCCCCTGGGTCTTCTTGGGTGAGGAGGAAGCACCAGGGAACAGGTCTAACTCCATCTCTCTCCCTCCACTATCCCTCCCTCTCTCTCTCTCTCCCTCTCTCTCTCTCTCTCTCTCTCTCTCTCTCTCTCTCTCTCTCTCTCTCTCTCTCTCTCTCTCTCTCTCTCTCTCTCTCTCTCTCCCTCTCTCTCTACAGTCTCCGACTGATCGTCTTGACGTTCATCATTTATAAAACGATCAGCCCTGATGAGTCACTGTTGATCGAATAGAAAAATAAATGGCTTGACTGTTTGGGTGGTCTTTTAGCGAGGGAGCGAGAGGGAGGGAGAGAGAGAGAGAGAGATAACGTCCGTTCTTCCCAAGCGTGGGCCCTCGTTTTAAAGGCCAGCCATACTCATATAACGGTTGCATCGCTCCGTAGAGGGCATATCTTTACTCCCCTGGGCGGGAATACAGTGAGAGGTGATCGCCGCTTCACGAAAGGGTGTTCTTTGACTACAAAAAAAACCTGTAGAGAAACAGCTGGCATAATCAGAGATGGACGAGCTCGTACCCACAGTCATCACAACCACGCATGAGGCAGCGCTTATTACTAAGAATTAACCCATGCTATCCGATTGTAGGGAAGGGGGGAGGAGGATGATAATCTTTCAAATCTTCAAAGGTTTCTTCAAGTTGGATACCCTAGACATCCTCATTGTTTAAACGGGGATTAATCTTAAATTTTTACGACGTATCCCTCCCTTCCTCCTTAGTTGAAGGCTTACTAGATTGATGATCTCCTTGAACTAGTAATAAGATTACATACCCAAAACAAATAAATTTAAAAATTGTGAACTAAATATATGATATTATTTTTAAATTATTTATATTTATGTTGATACAACCTTATTTTATCATGTTTGTGATAAATAATTTGTAAATATATATTTTAATGTTGAGTAAATAGAACCATGGTCACCAATAGTCACCAATCTCTAATTATAGAGTATGGTGTGCCTTACCCTGATTGCCAAGAATGCTAGACGGAGATTATGAGAGGTATTCTAGGAGTCAGCAAGAAAAGTCACTGAATGATGATGGTTTATTGACTAAAAAATGATTAATTAGATGAGATTTGATAAGGGTACGGATTTTCTAGTTGACTATACTATTAAAAGTTGTAGTTCATTTGTTGAACCTTTCTCCAAACTTAGGATGCAATAATACTAAATTTTTTACTAGGGAGATGGAAAGTTATGGTTACACTAGCCTCTCTCAAGCTTTTGCTTGATTTCCATCTTATGTTCATAAACATATTTATTTTAGTGAGTGAGGAAAACCCTATAAACCAAGCTTCAAGCTTCCCAATCATTCTGCTCTTTTTGAAGTTCAAGCTCATTTCTTCAGCATTTTTGAAAACTCTATTGGAGTATGCACATTGAAACTATGGCAGACAATTTGTAAAAAGCAAGCAAGCAAGTTTGTTGAAGACTTTGGTGAGGGAATAGGGCACCATGAGCACCTTAGAGAGCTAACTTGTGGATTGTTTTACTCTCCTCTGAGCACTCTTGTTAGGCTTGGGGTTTAATCTGAGTTGACGAAACTTTATGTAAATACATTTTTTAATTTATTTAATTGGTTATTTTCTTCATGAGATTTTGATTTTGGTGCATAACCTTCTCCCCCCTTTTAATCTTGGTTATTATGTTGCAACCATCCTTTCAGCCCATTTTTATAAAAAAGTTAAACATATTTTTAATTTTTTTAAAATTAAGGGCAAAATATTGACAAAGAACTGAGTGGATTGAATGGCAATCTTAAGAATTTTTATATTTTTAGAGAAAATTCTCTCGGTACAGAATTTCTAAGAAAATAGTTTAGTCCTAGCGTTGAGCGGTATTTTTACAAATATTTAAATATGAAGGTGTAAATGGAAATATACCTTAATGAGAGTCTTCACCTTGTTCCAATTCCTTAGAGATGGTACTACCAGGTTTGTGAAGCCGCAGGACTCAGAGTTTGAGGGGGCGGGGCGTCGGAGGGAGAGAGAGAAAGAGAGAGAGAGAGAGAGGGCACGCAGAAGAGAGGACAGCGACGATGGAGGGTGGGGGTGAAGGTGGACAGGAGAGGGCGGCGGACTCCAAGGACCTTCAGCAGCAAAGCAAAGCCCTCGACAAGCTCACGGACAGGGTGGAGGACCGCCAGCTTGACTCTATTCGAGTCCAGGAGGTCTGCTCATACTCATTCATTCCAGTTCCAAATTCGTGGCGAAGTTCTAGTGCCGGACTCGGTTCGCTCTTCGTTTTCTTTGCCTAAGACCTTCCTTTCTGTTACCTATTTTCCATCATTGATGTTTCGTTCCCAACTGATAAAGGCTATTTTTTTCTTTGGCGATTATCCTCTCCTTAAATAAACCTGATTGTCTCACTTTCCCCATAACCCATGATTGATATATTTATATACATATGTATTCCTTCACTGTTCATTAATAGAAGGTTTTTATCGATCTGCTGAAGAGTCCATATTCTGTCCAAGATCTTCAGCTTGTTTTGATTCATTTCATGCTTAAAATATGCAGGCAATGGCATCTCTCGCTTCGTCTTCAGAAGCTGACAGGAATGCGATGAGACTGAGGTTGAGTTTCATAGAATCTGCTTCAATTATTTACTTTTTTTCTGGAGATTTTATTTGTAATCAGCTGGCCAATGGTTACCTTATTTCTACATTTTTAATTGACCTGTGTAGGGCACTATGGTTTCAATTCTCACTTCTGATTCCTCGTGTTACACTGTGGACTTCGCCAACTTCATGCTTGTTCACTGCCCTCATATTCATGACCAATTAGCTGATCAGATCTCAATCCGGGCCATTGATTTTTTTTTTCTTTTTAGAATGCTTTATTGGCATGACCCAATCATCGTCACATAGGCTGCAAGGCATGTTAGGAGACAATACTTGATGTCTAGGTGGAAAAGCTTAACCCTTGAATGGCATTGTAGCCTATTTTTTAGCACTGAGTACTATGTCAGAAGCCTATATTCTACTGAGGTAAATGGCCATTCTTTGTTCTATTTCCATATTTCTTATGGAATATTGTATAAAAATAAGTTTTCACACTGTATTTCAGATTTTTCTTGACATCTTGGAATTTTAAGTTCAGGGAGTTGGCTTTAGCATTGGCAGCCGTTCACCTTCAGTTTTTTTAAAAGAACAGTTATATTTTAAAAAAAAACTGTTGGGTTGTTTGCATATTTCAATATTTGTGAAAAAGCAAGTGAGGAAATATCATGTGGATTGGAAAATGTCCTGATTCCTATGCCAATTAGTTTTCATCTTCTTGTTGTGGTTATTTTATGTGCCAGAAATTTTATTTACTTCGTTGGGATTATGTCAAAAAAATAACTTAGGATTGAGATATAATGTGTCAATCGCCCCTGAAGGATGTTCTAAGACATGGAAAGCTATCTGTGAAGAAAATGGCAACGGAAATCATCACCACAAATGGATCACTGAAAATAGCATAATGTCTAATGGTAGCATGATCACTTCATTCTTTGGGCCCCCACACACTATCCATATTCACGTCAAGGATCTCATAATCCAACAATGTAGGGGATGATTTTACATTTTTCAAGAAATTAGCGTCACAGGATTTTCCATTAGGGCTTAAATATTGTAATACCCAACGGACTGCCTCATATATCATCTGGATGCCATGAAGAATAATCATGGCAAAGGCAATGCGAAAGGTTTTCCATATAGATTCACGAAGAGGATTCATTTATTTCCTCAATTCGCTCATGTGAGTGAATTTTCATGATTATATTTTGCTAAATTAGCTTTCGGTAGAATGAATTAGCATCAGCTATATAGCAGATACTTGTGTGCAAGAATGCTCATCAGATGCCATCTTTTCTTGCCTAGGAGGCAGTAATTCAGTGGCTCACTGCGTTGCTTGCCCCAGTTAGTTCGATGATTTTAGTTTTACTGGATTGAATATTCCTCTCATTCTTATTCTCATTCACCCTGATGTAAAGTAAAGGGCCTGCTCATCACAGTATGTGGAAGAAAATGGTATCCTTAAAAATACTGTACAAAATAAGTGGTCAGTAGTGGAAGTCAACGCATAATTCTTGAGGGCTTCATTACCACCTAGTCGATTGCTTGTGGGAACTAACTGCGCTCAAACCAGTGGGAACCATGGAAGAAGCTTTGGGGTTAGTAGGAACGCCATGGCTTGTGAAGTCGACCAATGATGCATCTCAGTCTTCTGAAAGTCAATCCAGTCATTCCTCCGATATGATGGTCTCCAGTCCGTAATCCTCATGGGCTCAACCCAGCTGATTTAAACATAAATCTTGCCTCGCTCAACTAGTTTCAACAGGTTCTTATGCTCTGCCGATCTAGCCGAGCTTCCAAGTGCCTATATAAATAGTCCATAATCGCTCAATTGTGGATTGATCACTTCACCTTTAAAACCTCATCAAGTAGTGGGAGAAACGAGGTAGAAATCGATGTGGGTACATAAAAATAGGGTGTAAAAGTCTTGCTGATGCCCTTTTTGTGCGTCTTATGCGTTGATAACCCTAGAAGAAAATCTTGATCACTTTGACTATGATAATTTCTCATTTCGAAATAAGGATTCTATTATTCTTAGTGTTAGTGAGATAACATATAGGCATTAGTAAAAAAACCCAGGGATTTCTAGTCTATTCTATTCTAAGATTTTTTTTTGAATAAAATTCAGGTATAGGATTATTGTGGCTATTGACTCAATACGAATATGTAAAAAAAAATCTAATACATCGAACGATTTTATTCTCTCTTCTCTTCTTGCCCAATCCTAGATTTTGGGCCCTGATGATCCTAGAATAATTTCAGGAGTTGGGTCCTGGGAATTTCCAGGAATTTTCTCCTATGGTTCTCCATTGCATTGAAATAAAGATTTTTTTGGATGAAAAGTTGAATCTTGGAAGATATTATGTCTTTAACTAGTTTGGATGGATGAATCATCGGATGCTATTATAGCAGAATTTCAGAAACTTTCCTGTTAAAAATGATGATGAACTGTTCGAAGTCGAGAAAACCATTGTCTTTGTTGAACAATATAAAACCGGTCAATGGCGCATGGTGCAGGGAGAAGGAGCTGGCAGCCGTCAAGATCAACCCTGCTGACATTGATATCATCGCTAATGAGCTCGAGGTCGGTTGGTGCTTCTCATCATTCAGCAAGAGACCTACCAAATTTGGGGGCGATGATTGAAGTTCATAATATAGATATATATATATATATTATATTTTCTGAACATACGCAGCTGGACAAGAAGGTTGCCGAGACAACCTTGCGCGAGCACAAAGGCGATGCCATCGCCGCCGTTCGCCACCTGCTTCGGACGGAGACATAAACAGAGGCAATCTCTTCTCTCTCTGCAAACGGCGGGCCGGGTCGGGTCCTCTTAGTTTCTCTCTCCTATGTTGGCTATAAATATTTCCAGGTTTGGCATATCTGGGGCTTTCTTCTCTGATTTATCTGTACCTTCGCTCAACGGTGGGCTCTCTCGGTTGGGCGCTTTTCTCTGCAATTAGCTTAAAAAACCAGGCATTTCTTGGACCTTGATCGCCTACCGGGGGTTGACTAAGGCACTTTTCTGGTATTTTGACCTGTTGATGGAATGGTTTAGATGCCCGACTTCTGTTTTAGTCCCCTTCTCTGTGAGTTCTTGGGGTTGACCAGCCCCTTCTCTGTGATATTTCCATGCACATGGTTTAAATTTTCGCAATATTTCCCCCGTTTAGAAACAATAAAGGACTACAAGGGACCCATTTCCCTTTGAGGCTTTCTAGAGAGAGAGAGAGAGAGAGAGAGAGAGAGAGCCCATCTAGCTCTGAATATGGGCGTAGAATATGAAATGGGCCAGTTCGAGCTGGGCCGGCCTTGATTAGGTATTATATCAAATAAAAATATTTGTTAGGACCAGAGACTAAATGTCGGTGAACCGGGTTGTATAGTCCAGTTCGGGTGGTCCCGGGAACCGATGCGCTCTGCTGGATTGCTCGGTCGGAGCGCCCGCAGTATGCGCTGGCATTGGCGGGAGCCCCGATGCAACGGAGTTCCGTCGTCTTAACGTATCAGTAGCGTGGACTTTGCCCTCCGATGGCTGCATCTTTCTCATATCAATCTTGCGCCGTCCGATCGGTGGATTCAAACGGCGGTCCCCTCTCACGGATCCTAACCAAACCATCGGGAATGTCGACCGTTCTTCGCAAGTCCCCAGAGTCTTCTCCCGCCTTTCGAGGTATAGCCTCACAAATATACTTCATTTTAGTCTTTATTGACTTAGTACCCCTATCAGATGGAAAATAATCAAAGATTTGGTGAGGGCTTATTCATAAATATCCTGTCACTATCGGGTTAATGTGGTGACAAATAATGCCTTATTTTACGTATAATAGTGGATATACCTTCATAGTCTTGAGAATATGCAAATTTGATAGCTGGGCTCTGTAGTACTGTAATTATAGGGGACTGATTTGAAAATTATATTTTCAGATGCTCCATAATACGGAAGTATAATAATATTTACCATCTACAAGAGGGGGAGAAAACAAATCGATTAGATGTACTATATTTAATGGTGACAGATAAACTACATTATTTCTGTAAGTTTCCTATCTACCCTCATAGCCTTCTTAAATAAACTTGTTAAGGTGAACGCAAATAAGCGTGTCTTGGGAGAACCACAAAGGAAAATTATGGCGACAAATACACCCTGAAATTGTCTTAAATTTGTTTCATGACCCAAAATCGGACACCCAAAGATGTCAGCATTTCTTGAGAGGTATAAATAGTATTATTTTAACAAAAAGGTTGAATTTCAATAGCGTGGACTTTGCGGTGTTGAGATGGAATGACTAGAAATAGTATACAGTTAAATACTGTAGCATTAAGGTGTTTACAAAAGAGTTTCTTTTTTCGGCGGAACAATTAGGAAAAGTGACGGGCGCGAAGATCGACGCACAAAATGCCTACGCTGAAGGCTGCTCGGGAAGAGAAAAGACTGCAGCAGAGCCCCACGGCGGCCTTCCTCCTCCCTCCCTCTTTCTCCTCGCTGACCAGAGCTGAAGATGCCGCGGTGGGTTTCCCTAGAGAGCGAGAGAGAGGCTCAAGGGGGAGGCCTTTTCGCTTGCCCACGAAGGAAGAAGGATGTGGGAATGAGTGTTTGGAAGGACGGCGATGGCGGAAGGAGTAAACTAAGCAGGGCTTCTGGCGTGAGGGGGAGAGCGGAAGAAGCAGAGTCGACTGAGAGACCGAGGAGGGGTGCTGGGATTTTCAATGTGGCTCCTCGCGCTGCGGTGGCGGGTTTGTTTATTGTATGATTTTCTCTCTCTAGCAGGGGCGGCGATTTGCAGAAGGTCACCATCAGGGGGGGAGGGGGGTTGCGAGCTTCAGTGGTGGCACGCCTCCCCAGCCGGCCATCGTTTTCCACATCGCTCTCTGCAGACCGGCTTGAAGAGGAAAGTGAAGGCGAGGAGAGACGCAGGGATTGAAAACGAGACAGAGAGAGAAGTGGGGGAAGGGACAAGAGAGGTGGTCGCCGGCTCCTGGTGCCGCCCGATGTGATGCCACCCTTCTACGCCATCAGTCCTCTCTCTCTACCTCTCTCTCTACCCTTCTACGCACTGGTCGTCCCCGTTGCGTCCTTCAGCGCCCCCCCTGCAACTTCCCTTGCTTTCATCTGTCCATCTGTCTGTCTGTCTATCTCTCTCTCTCCCTCTCTCATTTCTCTCTCTTCTTCTGTATGCTCAAAATAAAAACTCGTTCTCTTCCCATCGGCGGTCTTAGTCTCGTGGGTTGTCACAGGTTTCTCTGGACATGAGTGCACTCATTTTTTCTTGTCCATCAGATAGTGATGTCTGATCTCTCCACACTTGCCCATTTCTCTAGTTCTTTTTTCTCCCCCCCCCCCAGCCTTCTTCTCTCTCTTCTCTCTCTTCTCTCTCTGTCTGTCTCTGCGTCCCCTGCTGCTCTTTCTCTCTCTTTCACATAATCATTCGCTTTTCTACTCCGGGGTCGTCGGTCTGTTCATGAAAATGTGCTTGCTGCGGCATAAGTTCGTAGTGGCTCTCCAGATCTCCCTTCCATCTTTCTCTCTCTAACTCACCTACCCTCCTCTCTCTATCTTCTTGCTTGGAGGTGGTAGAAAATGGGATCTCTGGGTGAGGAGGACATGATCAAGAAGAGGGCAATGTGGCTTTATCCGAGGGCGGCGGGCTTCAACCCCTCAGAGAGGTGGGGGCACTCCGCCTGCTGCTCTGATGGCGTCCTCTACGTCTTCGGGGTGAGTACGTTCTCACTGTAGCTCATTCTCTCCCCTCCCTCTCTCTCTCTCTCTCTCTCGCTAACCTGAAGAAAGATGATCGATGATCTCAACGCATGATTATTATCTGTTTCGTCTCTTTCCCTGCCTCTCCTTTATATTTTTTTTGTCCAGTGATTCGAAAGGGGAGAAAAAGGTTTGATCTTTATCCATTTCCATTGGACTATTTCACTGGTTCTCTGCGAAAATTCATCGTAGTCCTCGTTGTTCACCGTTGAATCTGAATCTGGTTGGGGGCGGTAGGGTTGCTGCGGGGGGACGCATTTCGGGGACGTGGTGGCGCTGGACCTGAAGAGGATGGAGTGGAGCGCCGTCGCCACCTCCGGCGAGCGGCCGGGGGCGAGGGACAGCCACAGCGCGGCGGTCGTCGGCGAGCGGATGGTGGTCTTCGGGGGCACGAACGGGGCGAGGAAGGTGAACGACCTCCATGTTCTGGATCTGAGGACCATGGAGTGGAGCAGGCCGAGTTGCAGAGGGGCGGCGCCGCCGCCGAGGGAGAGCCACACGGCCACCGCCGTGGGGGAGGGTAAGCTGGTGGTGTTCGGGGGGAGCGGGGAGGGGGAGGGGAACTACCTGAACGACGTGCACGTACTGGACGTGGAGAGGATGGAGTGGACCTCGCCGGAGGTTAGGGGGGAGCTGCCGGTGGCGAGGGACAGCCACGCCGCCTTTGCCGTTGGCAGGCGCTTCTTCGTCTACGGCGGCGACTGCGGCGACCGCTACCACGGCGAGGTCGACGTCCTCGACCTCGATTCCTTCACTTGGTCCAGGGTCTGCTCTCTCTCTCTCTCTCTCTCTCTCTCTCTCTCTCTCTCTCTCAGGGAGTCTGTGTTTCTCTATCTTCTGTGTAGCTGGCCGTCCATGGAGCTTCGCCGGGGGTCAGAGCTGGCCACGCCGTCGTAAACATCGGCTCCAAGGCAAGTCAACTCTTTCAGAGTGAGAAAGATTGAGAGAGAGAGAGAGAGAGCTCCGGTGCCTTTGGTTTTCTTCTTACTGTTGCTCCGCCGCTGGCCTCGTCCCCGCAGGTGTACATCATCGGCGGCGTCGGTGACAAGCGCTACTACGGTGACGTTTGGGTCCTCGACGTGGCAGCTCCCTCTTGGACCCAGCTCCATGTCCGCGGCCGCCGTCCGCAGGGCCGCTTCTCCCACGCGGCCGCCCTCGCCGGCGACGACATCGCCATTTACGGAGGGTAACTTACCAAAAAGAACCACCCTTCCTCGACGATTATGGAAATTTTTCATGCTTATCCTCTCTTTCTCTCTCTCTCTCGCTTCTCTGATGGCGGGGCCGCCGTTGGGCAGCTGCGGGGAGGACGAGCGGCCGCTGAACGAGCTGGTGATCCTGCAGCTGGGGGTCGCCGTTGACCACCGTAACGGTCGCTGTAACGTGTCTCTTTGCAAGGGCCTCAGCAGCCACTGGAACCAGGAGAGGCGGCGGTTCCTGAGAGGGGCGGCCGAACTGGTGAGTGGAATTAGAGTTCCGAGCTTCGACGGGGAGGATCCCATGGGACTGATTCGGGTTCTGCAGAAGAACGCGGTGGCGGCGGCGGAGCCGGAGCTCTCTCTCTCCAGCGGCGGCGGCGGCGGCGGCGTCGCCGGGAGGCCGCTGGTGAAGAGAAGGAAGGGCGGCGGCGAGCCGAGGGCAGAGCAGGAGGAGCACTCGCTCTCCCTCTCCCAGCACTCCTCGCCGTCTCGGTCGGACCAGGAGCAGACCAACGCCGCCCACAACCCGGCGGCGCCGCCCGGCGACCTTTCAACCGTTGCGGCGGCGCTCTGCCAGCACCGGGCGGCCTTCGAGTTTCAGCGCCCTGCGTACCGCTGCCACAACTGTGAGTCGCCGCCAAATTTAGAGCGACTCCCCCCCTTCGCCATTCATGGCATGGCGGCGCGGCCAGCACCTCCTCTCCTAGTAAGCCGGAAACCTCCTCCTCTCCATGAAATCCAGGTTGACTTGGCTATTAATGGTGGGATCATGTGGCTGTGTTGTTGAAGATGGGGGCGGAGGTCTACGGGACGGTGGACGGGGCCTTTGATTCCGGGTTCCTGATGACGGCGAGCGTCAACGGGCAGATATTCCGAGGGGTCCTCTTCGCTCCGGTGAGCTCCCCACTCCATCTTTCTACTTCCGGAAAAACCCTGACTGGATTCTGACGCCGCCGTCTGAATATGGAGCAGGCGGCGGCTCGTTTCCAGAATCAACCAATGGCGGCGCTGGCGGCGCCGCCGGAAACCAGCCGCCGCGCCGCCCAGCCCGTGAAAACCTGCCCTCCCAGGGCCAGCGGCGACATGCCGGGCCTCGTCCTCACTCTCGGTGGTTCCGTCGGAGGGAGCTGAAGACGAAGCAGCTGCTCTTCTTCTTTTCTCTCTCTTCTCCCTCTTCTTCAGTGTACATCCAGAGCTGCTTTCCCGCAGGAATAAGAGAAAGCTTCGGGCTTCGGGTTTCTTGGTTCCTTGAGAAGCCCATCATGAAGCTAAGCTTCCTTGAGGTTTCGGCCTGACCGTCTCCACTCTGCCCACGGTGTCGTGTCCCATATGTAGAGCCGCCGTTTTCTTCTAGTGGCGGGAGCAACTGGTTTTCAAGGAACATCTTATTGCATAAAACTTATCTCATTTATTACTGTTGTCACATTATGAATCCCCACTCACTAATTTTCATCCTACATGCTCATCCAAAAATCTATCTACTCGCCTTTTCTCACTAGTTTATTCATCCTCCTTGTCCAGTAGGATTCTATGAGATTTAGGAAGTATGAAGAGTGTATGGTGTTGGGGTGAGCTTTACTTAAGAAATAAGAACCAAATCTAGCAATTTCTTGAGAAATTATATTTATCTGAATATTTTGAAAATATTAATTTCCATTTTATTGGATTTAACTAAGAAAATAGTTAAGAACTTGTTTGGATGCCGTGTTTTTTGATATATGAATACTTCCTAAGTGGGTCTGCCTAGTTAAGTTGACTTAGGAACTTGACACATGCATCGTTATGTCAAACAAATGATAGAGAGCAAATAAATATTCTATATGAAAAACTTAACACTTTAGAGATTTGACACATGTTTGTAGGCCACATAGTTAAAAGTTAGTCAATCAGATAGGCTAATTGTGTAAAGTGCTTTATGAGTTGACCAAGGAGTCAACAAGATCTTTGCTCAATCAGACATCAAACATCTAAATTCAAAAGGTAAAGCTTTTGGGCTCTTCAAAAAGTTTTATCTCAAAAACTTTCAAATTATATCTAAACACCACAACAATTTGATCCATTTTGTGATGAAAGTTTCACACCTTTCTTTTGCAAGTACAAATACACCAAATCTTCCTAAACAAGTACATCTACCTTGTCTTCAGATTCATTCATAATTAGCATGAAAAAAATTGATGATAAAGGAAAAAAGGCAAACAAGTGACTTGATGTCTAACATAGAGAGATAAACCCATATAATTTATTCGTGTAAAAAAGACTTATTGATCTCATGAATTTAGTTGTTCTTACTTGAAGAGATAACATTGAAAACCTAGGGTGAGTACCCTTGGTTCATGGATATAAATAATAGAAGGTCAAACCTCTATAAAATAATGTATCTTTAGTTATTGATTAGTGTGTTGAGTCAACTCAATCAACTGAATGTGTCAACTTATTCATATCTCAACATATAAAAAGTGTAAAAAAAAATACAAAAGAGTCAATTCTTCTTCCTCTCCTATTGAGAGTAAGATTTACAAGGGACAAATAAAGAATTTGAAAAGGAACGTAGAGAAAGAGAGAGACACAGGCACATATTACGAGAGGGCAGTGTTTGTGTGTGTGTGTGGCAAGGAGAATTGATTAATGCTCTTAGTATTGAAGGCTAATAAAACTTGACCTCATGTAGACAGTGAGCTTGAGAGTAGTGCTTCTAGGGACTGGAAATCTAAAAGTTTATTGCACATTCCTTATTAGGCCAGGGTCCTTCATAGTTCAAGAAGTAGAGCTATTCATTGCAAGAACGTTAATCTCCAACAAAGTATAGAATAATTTATTTTGCTAGCTTTTCACTCTCCAAATTTATGGGCAAATAAGTCATTGAAAACTTCTATTTATTTTTCAAAAATGGATATAATTATCAAGTTAATGATAGAAAAATAAATATGATGATATCTTGTTGTATTAATTAATTTTTGGAAAAAGCCTTACAAAATAGTGGGAAAATATGTAGAGGGCTCGGCCCACCGTCATCCCAATGAATCAAATGATCTGGTCATTTTCTCATTATCATTAAACATTGTAATAAACAAAAATAAATGTGTAAATATCATAGTGTTTTTTGTATTTTACATGATCTTTTGTTGTTGAAAGGCTTCATTATTTTGATAAGGACAAGATTTAGTTGGAAATACATGACTAATAAATTTAATATGTGAAATGTGCAAAATACCATAGTTTAAATCAAGTGAAAATCACTTAGTGATGTTGCCAGCAATACTTACATATGAACTTGAGAAAAATGATTTTTATTCTAAAACATTGTGTCACAGAATGGTTGTAACTTCTCATCACAAAAATAATTGAAAGACATAGTCAATGCAACAAATGACACAATGAAATTTGAAGCATTCAAATTCTTAAGATTTTATGCTACTCATCTGATTTGAATGATTTGTTGCTTTACGATTGTGTTAGAGATACAAAGTGTGCGACATTCAATGGAAAGCTAAGACAAAGAGGAACCTAATTCAACAAAAGATGCTTCATAATTCAAAGCGTTCAAATGGTTAAGATGTTTACAAATTTATTGAACACTTTCATGGCCTATTAAGGTCCACTCAATTACTCATTGAGACGACTATTTAGCCCAATAAAGAGAATAATCAGAGACGACTTTCGCCCAAATTAAGGTAAAGGAGTGAAAAATGAAAATAATGGAGAGAGAGAGAGAGAGAGAGAGAGAACCTTCACTATGTCCATCCCCATCCTCCAAAAGAATCCCATAAATCTTCTAAGCGTCTACAATTTCTCCAAAAAAGAGATTAATCATCCTCTAAGAAGAGAATACTGCATTTGTGAATATCCATTTGTGTAAGGAAATGAGGATCATCCCTTGGGAAGGCTAAAAAAAAAGTGGATAATTAAATATTAGATAAATATACTTTTTAGATTATTACCGAAAATAGTATGGATATTAAAGCTTCTTGGTGATGGGAAGAGGGTTTTGGGCTTTGAAGCACGAGGAGCAGGATCCCCGCCCACTAGTCTCTCTTTAAGAGAGATTACTAGAATATCCTTAAATTTCTGGTAAAAATGCCCCCGTGGTGTACGTGGAGAGAGCCCAAGTTGTTTTTGAACGAAGGGAGGGATGTTATGCCCGGATTTTCCCGCCATTTCCCCGCCCTCCTGGAGACCGGGGAGTTCGGGTGAGGAGAGGAAGGGTTTCCGGCCGCTGTTCCCACCGCCGGCAGTCGGACTGATGGGGCCTGCAGAGGTCTCCGCCGATGGAGGAGACGGAGCAGCCGTCCAGACGGAGGAGGACGCGTTCCTCGGGTTCGTGGATTATGCAATGTCGGAGCTCTCGCCGGAGGAGGAGGAACGGGGTTCAACCCGCGACTCTGGCAGTGGAGGGGATGGGGGAGGAGGCGGAGATGAAAGGCGTGGTCCTGCGTGGAGCTGGGTGGTCTCTCGCATACTTAAGACCTGCCTCGCCTACTCCAGTGGTGTGACGCCTGCCATCATCTTGTCCGAACTCTTCCAGGTGTCCGGTGTTTTAACTTTTACGCTACATCCTCTACTTTCTGAAAACTTTGCACACAGGAGCATATCTAAACTCATTTTTTCTTGAGCGAGTGTATTCCTTGAATATCTATGGGGATACTACACCGTAGGGGAAGACGATTTTCGGCAAGCCGAATATATTGTTCAAAATTTGAGCTTCTTAATTGATTCTTGTATGCTGCTGCAATCGTTGAACAGAGCGTCTATTTACTTACAGTAGTGGTCATCGTATTGCAGTCTTGGAGTGAGCACAACAGGTATCTTACCTCTAAAAGGAGGTTAGAACACATGATTCCCATGGAGAAGCGACGGAGAAGGACGAGACTGTCAAACACTGTTACAATTGATTCAATATATGAAAAGAATTTCCTGTCCACGAGCAGTATTCTGGAAGCAGTTGTCCTCAAGGCTTATGTTCTTCCAGGTATTTCTGCCTTTCCTCCTGGTTCTGCCTAACTAAAAGTATTGTTTGCCTGTCACTGGGAAAAATCAGTTTTAGATTGGGATAAGAATGCAAGATATGGCTTTGGGCGTTGGATTTCAACGAATTTAGCCATCATAACGGTTTTGATCTTTAATTATCCTTTACACTGTCGTATCCCTGGCCTTACTCTGAAAACTAAGTTGAAGAAAGGTTTTATTTCTCCCCTCTTGTTAAATGTCTACTTGCTGAAGAGAATGAAGATTTTTATTACCTTACGATTTGAGAAGTGAGGCTCGGTTAACGTAGGGTGGGCCCCTGCAAGTCGGAGAGGGAAAGAACATGCTTACGGAGAATAGAAAGGAAACAGTGTAGAGACCCTTTGGTAACGAAAATGGCCTCCCTCCAAGTTGTGGGGTAGGAGTAGGGAGAAACTGAAGTCTGCTTGTATATAATCGGTGATAGTCATTCTTAACGCCTTGATCATTTTTTCTTACAGGGACTGACATCTATATGTTGAATTTGGGAGACTTTTGGAGTTCTTGTACAATCGATTTATATCTCCATCGCAGGTATAGCATTGAAAAATGAAATATTTTTATGCAAAACTCGGGCTGAAGAATCATAAAATGTTCTGTCTTATCATCTTATGTTTTAGATTCCCAATTACATGCAACTCAAACCATCCTTTTCTTAAAATAAAGCAACTAAATTTAGCTGTAATATTTGGAATTTGTTATGATATTTAATTAGATCTAATGTTCCCAGTTCCCTTCAATTGATACTCTTCAGTTTTTTCAAACTCAAGTGATCACAACCTTAATCAAATATTATTTACAATACCAGATACTACAACCTGGTGCATCCTGATCATGGAATTTTGAGGGAAGGCCGAGAGATTTTTCTCACTGGATGTTGCCTCCGGACTGGTATGACAGGATCTGGTCAACCACGGCTTCTGCCAACTGAGTATCTGTTGATATTGCTAGATGAGGTACACAATGACTTTAAAAGGCATTATTTTGATCGATTCATGTAAAAACCATTCAACAAGATGGTTATGCTAATTGAGCTTCTTTTATTATCTCTCATCAATCTATATTCTGTGCTTAAACATTATATTTATTGTTTCTTTTGCTTAATTCGATAAAATTATGATTCATCTACTAATCCTTAATGGCAGAAAAATCATATGACTGTGAGTAGCGACTTTAGGTTTTACTTTCAGTGTTCATGCTCTAATTTTATTAGTCTATTAATTTTCTTATTCCTTCTAGGACCAAGACGAAGATGCAATGCTACTTGGTGCTCAATTTTGTTCAGATTCCTTTTCTTCAATTTCCCTTGACACATCTAAAGAGGACCCTTCCTACTCATTCTATACAAGGCAAGAAAAAACCAATCTTTTTCATTTTTTTTTCAATTTATTTTGTCTGTGAAACTGCCTAGTTCTTGGCTTCACTTTTATATTTACCTTTTCCTCTGTACTAATATTTATTCTTCATAAGGCATCTTGGAAGAACGTTGCAATGAGTGCGTTCCATTGTGCTATGACTTAGTGTTTGGAAGACCTACACATATAGGAGAAATTTAGTGTCATGAGACATTTAAATGTAGATCCTTTTCTATGATTCCCATTTTCCCCTTCGCATTAATATCATTTATGTTCATTAATTTTTGGTTCGAAGCTTGATTTTCCAGATCGTCTCAAAGCCTGATTTGTGGGATGAAAATTGGAACGTTCCTCGTACTCAATCATTTAAAATTTATTAACCCATGATATCATTCAGGTCTTGAGATGATTTGGAGGGTCTTGAAATAGAAAACTAAAGGGTGACTCTTCTATGAGATATACTCTAAACATAATATATTGAAGGTAGCATTGTGCATTGTTCTTCCATCATAATTCAAATACTCCTCCCGAAGTTCTCTTGGATCAAACTTCAGACATTTGGTGAAAGTGAAAAATGGATTCTTCTATTTAAAGGACATCAATGTTCTGTTCTGGACTACAAGAGGATGCAAAATATCTTTTATTCACCGGTGAAATGCAAGGTTACTCCCCATTACTTCTTCACTGATGCATCCGTAGTCCCTGTAGACTGTTTGGTCTCCAGTCATCCCAGCATTTCTAAGGTCACACCGAGAGAGGGGTAAAATCTGTTACCCCCAAATCGTGAATGAGGCCAATAATCTCTTAACAGGAAGATCCTAACTCTGTTTTTCAGATGTGAACAATATTCGCACACTCTTCTCATATTTCTTGGTTTCATTTGCTGTTTTATGAGATGCCATATGCTGGCGTATACATGAATGGAAAATCTCAATCTGATGCGGTTTTGGATGGTTAGGGATGGTAATTCCTACGACATCTTTCCAAAGTAGAAGGTTCAATGATACTTCTGTTGCGGATGTATTGTGTTGAAGGAGACATTCTTGGAAGTTAGAGCTTTCGAAACTGAAATGATGTTCAATCTTTGTCCAGTCATTGAATTTATTTGAGTGTGGCGTACGTGGTAGCTGCAGTTTTTATCTTGACTTTATATACAGGTAAGAAAAAGTGTAACTATGAAGCTATACTGCGAGTACCATAGGGGGAAATGAAACATATATTTTTTATGTTAAGGTAGAAGAATCTTTTTGTTCCCTTCTGTTAATGTTATCATAGTATTGGATTTTAACTCATCTCAGTTTTATCAGAATCATATAATGAGTTTTTGTGGTGCTTTTAAATAATTTGTAGAGCAATATGATATAGAGTTGAATTCATCTCCTGGATGGTGTGATCAGGACACCTTTGAGTTTTTTAGTCCTCGTGTCACATGGATAATATATTAGAAAACATTGGCATACCTAGCCCGATCTCTGGACAACCTTGGCCTTCGTATATTGAATGTCTCACTCACGTACTACACACTACACTATAGTATATCTTTGTATAGTATATAAAATATAACATCAATAAATTATGTGATGGGCTTAAACTCTGACAACTTGAGAGGAAGATCACTAGACTCTATGATACTTTCCATTGGTCATGAGGATGATTATGCTCATAGCCTTTTCCGTAATAGCTATGCATAAATGATGCACCATGTAATCTCTTTGTATGCTGAAGTTATTTGGAGTTTATACGTAAAGTTTAGTCATTTAAGTAGAGAGACATTTAGAGAAAAGGGTTTCAAGCCTGGACCCGCTATCAAGAGGCCTGTATTTTGTTTATATGATATATGTACAACTCTGTTTAGCTTTCAAAAATAGGCGATGCCAGGGGAAGCTTCAAGCACTCAAGTATGTTTTAGTAACCGTGATAGCATATATCTAGTATGTGTTCTTTAAAAGCTCTGCAGAATTATTCTGTTCATCTTTGAAAGCTCTGCAGAGTTTTCGAGAGTTTTCGAGAAGTGTGCTTCTTACCCGAAGTTTCCTTGCAGAAGGCGTTTTTCTTTGTTGGGAATATGCTCACATTCTCTTGATCTTTTTCTTCATTAGGGTTAAGTCGATTGGGCAGTTGGAGGTGCATGGCAAGTTTGGTTATGTTCAGAGAAGACAGATTACGCTTGACTGTGATGGCATCAGCTTAAACTTAGTTCTGTGGGGCGATCAAATTCTTCTTGGCAATCTTCTCAGGTCAATTGCTTTATTATTTTGAAAATCTGATTGCTGCTGTTTCTGTAGGTTTACTGATCGTTGTTTTGACCTCAGCGTTGGGAGTATGCTTGCATTGGATAGGCCATTTATAGCAAGTACTTCTGACAGCAAGTTAGGAGCAAATGAAGACATTTGCCTAGAATTTGGTAGTGCCACACAGTTATATCTGGTACCCTTCATTCAACCGGAAGAACAGGTAACCTTGTCTGATCTTTGAGACTATTAGCAGCCTCCATCTGAAGAGGCAGCCAAGTGATTCAATGCTGAATAATTATAAATATTTTATTTAGTATGTTCTATTTTCTGTGTTGCTTTCTGAAAATGGATCTTCATAATGGATGTTCTCACTGTGAATTCTGGAACATTTGGACCTGGAGCACCATATGTATTGCGCTTAATCTTTCTTATCTTAGTTTTAATGGTCTGTGGCTTTTCGGGCAAAAAATAATAGATTGGACTATTTCTTTCCTTATGGCAATGAATTTCTATCCTACTCAGGTTCTTATAGCCTGCACCCAAACGAGGTCTCAAAGATCTAGGATGGCAACTGTTACAGATCAAAGTCAGGATTTTAACAATTCCCAAGTAACTTTGCCACTCGATTCTCAGGGGTCTGTTGATTTCAGGAATTATCCGTTCCGGGTGAGCATATCATATCCTGCTTTCTTTGAGCCCTTCACTCTTTATCATTCCTCTATACCACGTTTCCCCACCTCTTCGCTGATTCTTCTTATCATTAATGACAAAACACTGTTTGCACTACTCTTTGAAGTTGGGCATGCCTTAGACAACACTGAAATTTTGAATGTCAAGGTCTTTCAATTTTACATCACTATGAGTTATTAAAGTCATCTACTTCACTCACTTTGCTGGCTATAATTTTGCAGTTTAATAAATGGCTAGAAGCTGTCATTTACTTAATCCATACTCTTGCATACACAGTCCTTTCATGCGCATTTTTTTGTGACTTCGTTAATTATCATTGAACTTATAATAGAAATTTAATAACATGAATTTGTCGCCAGTTTTCCCCAACAGAGCTAGATGTGTGAGTACTATGCTTGTCCAGTACAAAGTATGCAGACTACTAGCCTATTTCTCTTTCCGCTAGACATGCCTTGCCTATGAATAAATTTTTTCCTGCATTTGAACTCCAGATTGACCTTGTCTATTTTCCTGATTCTTTATTTGTTGATTATTTATTTTCATTTTCTTCTCTTTTTTTTTGTTTTGTTGATTGAAGTGATTGGCTAACCTTGTAGTTTCTCATTCCTCTGTTATCTCTGCAGCTGTTTGTTATCAACCTTTGTGGCAAGATGACTGGAATCAACCTTTATGGACTTGTGAGAGACATCCATCGAGATGTTGAGAGTGCAGAAGTCATATATTCCATGACACTTGAGGACGTAACAGGGGCAGTTGTTGTGAAGCTGCACTTATCTACATGTTGGTAATGGAAAATTGTTATCTACCATTAATTCTTTCTATTTCTTCTATCCAAGTTTCTATTTCATTGTTTTCAGATTTTTTCAAAATTGCAATTTATAATCAATCGCCATAAATTCCATGTTTCTGATCTACCTCCTCTCAGCCTTTATTTTCATCTATTTTCATGTTTACTTTTGTATCCTACGCACGGTTTTTCTTATCCTTTCCGGTGTCGTGTTTCTCCCTTGATTTTCTTACGCCTTGCGAATTCTATCCAGTGGTTTGGCTGCTTATTCATTTTTACATCTATTAATTGATAAATTTTCCTTTTTCATCAGGTCACTAGGGAGATTGAATGTGGGTCATACTATTTATATTACTGGCTTGACATGCTGTATGACTTCAGGAAATCTGTAAGCAGCTTGTATGTCCTTACCGGATTTCATTATCCCCCAAGTTGCTGATAGTTGTTCATTCTGAATATCTTCCTCAATCTCCTGGCTACCTGGCTAAGTCGCAGTGCTTTGCAGGCCTAAAGTTTCATGGCATGAAAAAGATTTGGGGGCATCTTTGATTGATTTGAGTGGCTTACCAGCACTACTGAATTCATCGTGTCTCCACAAGCTATCTCTTCTTTCCAGCCTCTCCAACAGGATGAATGCCACGCACGTATGGATTTGATAAAATATCTGTAACAGTTTCTTCTCAACATAACACCAAAAAGATATCTCGAATGCATGTTTTAGAATCCTGTGTTCACTGACGATCAGATTGTGATGTTCTCGTATTTTTATCTTGTGTTTATGTTTTTCAACCAGATATGCAATATTCACCTGGTCGAAGTTGATCATCGTCGGTTGTATTCAAGAAATCTTCATGCTGTTTGCGGCCATTTTGTGAATGAGAGGCCTGATGGATCACTTGAATGCAGCCTTTGTCGCTGTAGCTGTGATGATGAGCTTGTTCGTGGCTTTCATCTGCGAGTTCATCTTCAAGATGAAAGTGCAACTGTTTCTGCATGGTGCGCTGGGCAGACTGCCACAGAATTACTGCAGATATCTCCTGATGATTTTTTTGAACTGCCTGAGGTAACCCATGCTAAACTAATAGAATTCATTTTACCATTTTTGAAAATTAAAAACGTTGTCACCTTTATACTGTTGCGATCTACATTGATGACTAAATGAGCTGGGGTCCCTAGTATTTATCATTGTATTTATTCCTTATATCTTTCTTCACATTACTTTCATTATGTATTCATGTCTGGGCAAGATTTTCAAATGTTTCTATGCAGTATTTCTAAATGCCTTTCTTATTTGAAACGGTAATTTTTTACAAAAGGAAATTTTAACAGAGCTTAGTTCGACATCTGTGGAAGGAATATTGAAGGAACCTAACTTAAATGAAATATAAATCATTTTCGTATTTTCTAATTAATTGCCTGAACATTCCTTATGGGCCCTTCGCTTTGTTGCGCCTACTCTGCTTGGTTTTTTTTCTTCCCTAAACGTTTTTGTCTCGCAAGCAAAGTTCATGCCTGTAGTTCTCCTTTGTATCATCTTATTTTCTCCTTTGTCAGAATTAATTAGTTACTCATTTACATTTTCCTGAAAATAAGACCTTGTCCTTATTAATCATATGTGTTTTTAATGCAACTTATTTATATGAAGAATGTTGAATAATTCCTGTGCAACCTATGCTTAAGGCCACCGATTTCTATTTTTCACCTTCCTCAAATATGATTTATGTCTTATGATGTTTGGAATGTCAAAATAATTTTCAGGTTGAACAAGCCATGTATCTCTATACCCTTGAGAATGAGGGGTTCCTAGTTGCTCTTGCAAATACCAAGGTCTGTTGCGAGGGATCATCTATGACAGTAGATGATGAATCTGAAACAATTTGGGAGATTGTACGTGCCCAGAAATGTGACTGAAAGAATTCGTAATCTTTGGAATTTTGCCACAGACAGGACGAAGCTTTAAACAGCAATCATCATTGGTTTTTTGAGTGCGTCAGTTATTATGTCTGGGAGAACAAAAGTTATCAAAGGCTGCTGAATGTCAGTATGCTTCAGTTTTATCCCATTTTCAGAGAATCGTCTCGCAAGATGAGCCATCTAGTTCAGATCTGATTTTTCAGGTTGAAATTTCTGAGAAAAGATAAAATATTGGCACGGCTAATTCAGTGGAGCATTGAAGATTGCATCAGATTCAATGGCTTCGTTTAGTACTATCCCCAGGCATTTGAGATCATTGTGCATGATTTTGAAGAAGTGTTCCAGTGAGACCTCGATCAGACTATGCATGAACACAATTTCCAGTGTTAATCCTGATTTTTTGCATGGCAGGTTTCACAGAAATTATGCCGTTGACTTACAAATTTACAGTTTCATGTAATTAATAGAACGCCCTGTTCTTGTTGCCGTTTCATATGGGCTCATCAGCAAGTTTCTCTCTTCTGTGTTTTCCTAGCTTGCCTAAATTGTCGCAGTTGGCCTCCTACATTTCAGAGGTAGACGAAAGTCAACTCGTTTGCTTGGAGAAGTGTGTAGTTGACGCTCGCATTCCCCAGAAATGCCAACGGAGCTTAGCGCAGCTGGTTCCTTAGCTGCTGATCCGCATTGATCCACGTGGTTTCAGATGCCCATTCTGGGCTCCCTGGGTAAACCCTAATTGAGGCCATCCAAGCTAAACCATGGCGGATTATTGGATGCTGAGGCAGACACTGGCTGGAGGCGGTGGCCATGCCAGCTCTTCTTCTGCAAATGCTGCTGTCGGAAGTGAAGGTGGGGCTGGTAGTGGTGGTGGTAATTGAGTCATCAGCTGAGGTTGACGGACAGCGAAGCCAAAGCCTTGGGTGCCCTACGACGGATGCTCTTCTGGAGGGAGAAGTAATAGGCGATGGTGTTAGCAGCAGCAGCAGCAGTGTGGATAGAAGGAAAGAAAGCAGAGGACTCATTGATTTCTATGCTCTCTAGTAACCCTGATAGTATAAACTATGGTTTATTTATTCGCGAGACATGTCCCCAGCCATCTTCATTAAGAAGTGATAGGTGCTTCACCAAGAGTTGCTTCATGTTTCTACTCGAGCATAAGAATAATAATAGTAGAAAGCAACTAGCATCTTTACGGTCAAACACTAGATTAATAATAGGAAACACTTATTATTTTGATTTCTCTCCTTGAAACCATAAGGAAGAAAGTCCTTTTTTCATCTTTAGTTTATCAAGACAAATGGTTGGCCAGTTGAATGTACCTCAATAGTCGCAAGTGGCTCTAAATTATAGAAAAATATTTTTTAAAACATTGTAAAATTCATAGCTATTAAAAAACAAATTTTGATATGTACTTGTTTCTACTCTGGATTCCTATTTGAATGTCTAATGACCTTTCCAAGTCCAGCGCAAGTGTGAGATAATCTTTTAGATATAAACTATTTTAATCAGATGGATTAGAGGTCTAGACTATTGTACCTTTCAAGGAGATTATAAATTTAGTAATCTTTTACAACTAATAATTTTCTGCATTATGTTCACCTTTCAATAAGATATCTAATGGATGATTCATATGACACTGTTTTCAAAATTATAACTATTTAATCTACCTTTCCTCATAATTAAATATGATTGTATCCTTGTTCAAATTTGAGTTGATTAAAATGTCATTTCACACATTACTCCTGTCATAAAATTATTGGTCAGTAATCTCTCATTAAGCTTTGTCATCATTAAAATACTTAAAGACCTTCAATACTAATAGTCTACCATTCTGATGGTGAAAAAATCTAAATAAGTGGAAGAAATTAAATTTGAACAAACTTGACACTTATCTGATTGATAATAATCATTTGCTCATTCTAGTCTTTTTTTAATAAACACAATTAAGTCAAGTAATATCTAAATCAGATGATATTGAAAATTATGATTGTGAAATGATCAATTCCATAAGTTAACATAATTGAAGCAATCTCAATGCTTTGTTCTTGCTTGTCACTCACTACTTCATGATTCCTCAATATGAAGTATTGATGATCAAAAAATCATAAGATAAATAAATGGATCAAATTTATTAATTATTAATCACACATGAAATATGTTTGAATATTTTTTTGGACATGAACTTTGTGAAGATTATAAAGTAATGATGTTAAATATCCATATGGTATTCAAGGAATATGGTTGAGCCATGTTTCAAGGTCTAAATTTGGATGAACTTATCTCTCAAAATTAATACTTACTACTTTCCTCTGGAACATACTAATATTTACAAAAAAATCTATGGAGGAAAGTAATGATTGGCACATTCAATTTCATGAGAATCTTCAAAAAAAAAATAATTTTGAAACTTTATACATTATACTAGATGTATGAGTTTAAATTATTACATCATTCTATAATTGACACTGAAAAATAAATTTAATTCAAAATATTTAAATTAGGTTTTATAACTAATTTTTATAAACCCAAAATTTAACTCATAAAAATACAGAAAATCAAGTATGGCGGTAAGTTAGGGGTCGATCAATAGGGAGCATGCGATTTGTGTCATTGAAATGAAATGGGTGGACGAAGTAAGTAGAAAAATATAAGGATTAGAGGATGGGATTATAGGAGATAGCAAGAATCATGAATCAATTGTAAATTAATCACCTAAAAGGCAAAAAATGAGAAAATGCATCATGAATGGTGAAATGCTCTAAATCTAATGATTGAAGCAAATAAAATCTAAATAAATCTATCTAGATTGGTCATAATCAATAAACAAGTCTCACATTAATCTAGATTACCACTAGAATGATCTGATGTGCACCAGATCAAAGGCCTTATACACATTTCTACTGTAGTAGAGCTCTTGGTTCAAGTTGAGATTGCACTCGATACATAACTAAATTGCGAATAGTTGGTGCAAATCGAATCATCTCTTCAAGAGCTTTCTAACATTATTGTGTGGTTGGAAGATAGAGGTTACACTCAGTCAAGATTTCTTGAGTCTATTTTCTAAACCAAATAGAAAAAGAGAAAGAACACATATACATAGGGGGGTTTGAAGGGGGATCACCATCCTATTTTGTTTGGATAGTTAAGACCATGCCGCGTCACTGATAGTCCATTGAAATGTCATCAAATCTGTGCGCACCAAATATCCCACATTTGTGTAATCATCTCACCATAGAAACCTTCTTTCTTATTATCTAGAGCTCACAAGAGAATTAAATCCACGAAATTAATTGATGAAGGAACATATTAAGTATTGAAGATAAGATTTTATTACTCATCGCATCTCATTTCATTCTATTCCTTTCTTTTTAGTTGGTATTTGTGTTAGAAAAATTAGAAATTCATCAAACTAGCTCTCACCATCCTTGATGATCAACCTGAATTTTTACTAATACTAGAATTTATGTATAGAGTTCAGTTATAAATTTGGTTAAATTTGCATGTATTAAAACCAACGACTAATATATGATCAAGGCTTTTTATCACATTCGTAATGCTATGAAGAGATTGCAACAAACATCTCAGCAGATCACCTTATTCTTGATGATGGCTCATTCATTGACCAACATGACATGATTTCGTCGATGAACTCATGATCTTTTTATCTAAAATCTTTCAGTTGGTAACAGTAATATGCGATTGTTGTTGATGTAGTTTTCGCTGATGATTGAGTACTTATGGCAACTCGATCGTTGACTAACACTCTACAGATGAGGTTTGAACTTTCACTAGTTGGCTGTGTAAGAGAGGGTTAAATAAATATCAAAATAGCCTTAAAATAGTGAGCTCATGACCACATTTCCTTCTCATAATATAGGGGTATTTTTGACATTATTTTGCAGATGTGTTCCAACCAAGTTTTAGTCCTGCATTAGTTTTATCCTAATGTTTGAGATGAATAGAACTGTCTACCCTCTTCTCTCTTCAAATTCTCTCTCTCAAAAACAAAATGATGAGACCACCTAGGGAGAGGGCTCAGCTAAGTGGTCTATCCCCACATATAAATATGTGTACGACACTCTTTGCCCTATGCTTGTTTGGCCCCTAGTGACATGGAAGGGGAGTGACGCACATGTGCTCTATGTGGGCTCTCTTGGTGTGGATCATCTTACTTGAGCATAGTGCTCTCTCGAGTCTGCTGCTAGGTACTAACTAGCCAACAAGTCCTCCTTTTTTTTACATTTTTTATCTATTTTTTTCTTTATTTTAACTTGAAAATATGTATATAAAAGTCATATAAAATCATATAAAAATCTCTTTTCTCGATTTAACATAAGTATAAAGATATTTATCATGAGTTAATATGTAAAACATATTATTATGTAATTATTAACAGATGATAATGAAGACTTTTTATCTTCCCTTTAGTAAAAAAATTAAATTTACCTTTTATCCCCTTCCATTAGTGTCATCAATTTATGATGATTAATATTCAAGTTTAACTCATCTTTATTTTATTAGAATCACGTAGAGTTAAAGAAAAACTTGATAGCCTTCTCAAGCCACATTTTGAATAGATGTCTAGAATGACAATAGGAGTATAAGGATTTCCTTGGATGGAAATTTGGGTTGAAGGATTTGCTCCACTTGATCTAACAAAGGTTTGATTTTTTCATCCATTTTGTGGCATTGAAAAAATAATTATTATGTTTTCTCTATTTATTTGAACTATTGACTTTTAACTTTCAAAATTTTGAACTCTATTTTTTCGTTTCTCTACTAATAGTTCATCACACTCTATAGTCATTAAAATTATGAATAAGTCAGAATTAATGATGATTGTATCCTTGTACAAATTTGGTTTGATTAAAATATGTCATTTCACACATTACTCCAGCCATAAAATTATTATTCAGTAATCTCTCATTAAGCTTTGTCATCATTAAAATACCTAAAGACCTCTAATACCAATAGTTTCACATTTTGATGGTGACAAA